CCCACTGCAGCTGGCAAAATGTGGGAGCATTGCCATGGCTGCTAAGGCGAGCAGCGGCATGTGTGATAAGGGGACAGTCTGTTTTTAATACAGGCTAGTCCCTCCAGGTTGGAGAACGGCCAAACAGAATCAGATATCCCGGCTCAGTGTCCAGGTCACACCAAAGACAGCAGGAGAGAGAAATCAGCTCAAGGAGGAAAGAGCAAGAACTTTCAACCTCAACAGGAGCAAGGGTGCTGCGCCTGCAGGCACGCCTGGTGGAGGACACACACACCCTGGCCCCAGCTCCCTGCCAGTCAGAGGCAGGAAGAAGGTGACTGGCTCCATGTCCCTAGGGTTGACCAGGCTGTGTGTGGCATTTCTACCCCTCCATCCACCCAGCCCACAGGCCCGCCCGCTGGCGTACCGCACCTGAGGCCCATGGGCAAGGTGGCATCTTTCTTGCTCTTCTCCACTTGCAGCTGCCACAAAGCAAAACTTCTTGCACCACTCCAGCCCCTACACAGGAGTCCTCTGCTAATGGGAACCTGTGTCAGCTATAAAAACCTATTTCTCCACTTTGCCCCTCTGCTGTCTTGTTGACCCCAGGAGTGGGAGTCCTGAGCCACAGTGGCCTCAAGCCCACTCCCAAGACCTGCCTGACCTTCCCCCTTTCCCACCCTCTGGTCAAGAGAAAGGGAAGGAAAAGAAAAACTCAGAAACCCGAAGATGTTTGGAATTTATTCTCTTAAATAAGAATGTGACAGTTGATTAAAAAAAAAATTAAAAGCATGACAGCTTGGTTTCACAGTAAACAGAAAAAACAAAGTTACACAATTAAATAAAAATGCACAAAGAAACACACCAAGAACTCACAACAGCACAGGTTAAAAACAAGGGCAAAAATAAAGGCTGAGGGAAAGTGGGCAGCAGACAGGCAGCGTGTTCCTTGGCACAGCTAATCCTCTCCTGCTGGGCTCTCGTACCACCGCTGGGAAGCCGGCTGGGTGCCCGCCCCTCCCACCTGCACCCCCAACTGAATGGCTCAGGAGAAAAGTACTCCCTTAGAGCCCTGCTCAGGACTTCAAGGCTATGGTGGAACCCCTTGGGGACAGCCTAAGAGTGTCCCAATGTCCTGCAGAAAAGAGCTGAAGATGCACTGACCACTGGAAAACAGGAGGGGGCTCAAACAGCTACCTCAGGGAGCCAGCGTGCAAGCCAGAGAGAAGACAGCTGAGGTGGGTGCCTGGCTCTCCATGGTGCCCTGCCAGCAGCAGCCCCCTGCTTTCCACGTTTGCTCTTAAGGCCATTTCTTGGGGGGTGTGTGCTGCTCATTTTCTGAGATGCCCACTGGCTCATTTCCCTACAGGCGTGCTGCTCTTAGGCTGCTGTGCACCCTCAAAGCCCTGACCAGGGGCACAGCTCCCTGGTATGAGGCTCCTGTGGTTCTCAGAACCAGGAACAAGAAGCTTTAGAAATAGCTTCACAATTATTATTACTATAATTTAGGGTACAATATATAAATATTTACCCCTATATGTGCAGTTAGATCTATATACATATAAATGTGTACCTATATATGAACATTCTCACACACCACCGTCCACTATGGCTCTTGGGGTAAGGTGGGAGGTAAGCTGGACTGCAGAATGCTCTTGCTCTACTAAAAGGTTTTCCACAAATGCCTGGAAGGGAAGAGGACGTTGGAAGCAGCAGGACTTCCTAACTTCCCCGTCAGGTGGGAACCCCAGGGTGAATGAAATGATACCGCCTGGCTACCCTTCTAGCTGGTGTGAGAAAGGCCTGCACTTCCTAATGGCCCATTCCGGATCGGAACTATGGAACCTCATGGTTATCAGACAAGGAGTGTCTGAGGACTGGGGGCAGGCAACTGCCACTTGTGACTTCAGATCATTGTTTCCGTAAGATGACAGGAAGCTATCGTGTTTCTCCCCTCCCATCTCTGTGGCCGGCACTGCCAATGAACCAGGTGATGACACATTCCTGGGAAAAAGCTCTTCTGTTCCCTTCCGGCTATGCCTTCGGCCTCCCTGCTTCATTTTTGGTCATCTACCACATCAGATAAAAAGAGGATTCCTCTGGACAAAAACGAATTCAAGAAGCCTGCAGCTGAACTTCTCATGTCCAAGGGGAAAGTAATCCCATTTGGGGTTTTCCTTTCTCTGCCTATTTGTTGTTCAAGCTTTTTCTAGTCATGGTGGGTAGTACAAGGCCAGGGTAAGAAAATCTGTGCCAGGACCACTAATATGTAGTAGTAAGCATAAGCTTGGAAACAGCGCATTTATAGATTTAAGAACAAAGAAGAGCACTTCTATATTAAAAGCACATTACAAACAAAAATACTGTCAACAATGCCCCCAAACACTAAGTTAGGCAGCAGGCCCAGATTTGGTTACCAGAGAAAGGTGACACTTTACAGCAGACCTAGAGTGGGTCCTTTGAACTGTGGGTTATAATTAGGTAGGGGTGTGGTTTTTCTGTTTTTGTTTTGGCAACAGCAAGAATTTTGGCACAAGGAGGAAAAGAACATAAGGGAGAAGGGAGAAATGCCACAAATAAAGAGGAGGCGCGGAGTGAAAGCACTGCCGGGTGAAACCCTGCCCAGTCACAGCTGTACCAGCCCTGCCTCCTGGGGAAGTAGGTCTAGGGAGGAAGGCTGAGTCACACACAGGAGTCAAGCACCTTCATCATTGCCTCTTCTGGTTGAGTGACAGCGGAGGCGGCTACCATGGGCCTGGGCTAATGACTGCTCTCTACGACATTCATTCTGGGATCCTGAAACACCTGAGCATTTCTGAAGCTTTTCAAAAGGAAACCTAGTCAAGTCATCAAAGCTTCAGTTTCATACTGAAAGAAGGAAACCTCTATCAAAGGAGGTATCTATTTCATGCCAACCATAAAATGCCACCCATCATCCTGTTCCCTTTCTACCAAGGCTGGCAGCAGAGTGAACTCGCAGGGAGGCAAGGTGCCTGAAGCATGTTCTAGATGCTGAGCTGCCGGAGGCTAAGCCCCTCAGCCCTGAGCTGGCTGGCCTCTGCTACCCAAGTTGGGGGACAGTGCCTGTCATTCACCGAAAGGGTCCACACTGTGATTCCTTTGGGGCAACACATTTTGAACTCCTGTGCTACACCAAGCAAGTCACCGTCTGCTCAGAATCCAGAACCACCGGGACAGAGACGTCCTCAGGGCTGACCCTCTCGGTGGTTTTGCTCTTTCACCACACTGTGGACTGTCCTCTCTTATTCTCTCTCCTCACTATGTAGAACATTCTTCTTTTTCTCTATGGAACTCTTAATTCTTTAGAACCCCTAAAAACCCGAAGCCCATTATACTTTCACTTAGATGGCAAGAATGGCAACCCGAACCAGATGGGAAGTCGGCAAACCTGGCTTCATTGAGGAATAACCTAAACTTCATTATGTTTAATTCTTTTTAAAGAATGTTCTGTACTTCAAACCCAAATGCAGTTTAATTTCCTTGAGATGTTCTACTTGGTAGCTGCGTTCCTCAGAAAATCCATCTCTGCTGGAACAGGGCCCAGACTGAGAAGGTGGCACTCTCCCCAACCCAACGTGCATTCTGTAGCGTAAGGCCAGACCCCTGGGGTTATTTTCTCTGCCAGTGATTCTGTCCACACTCCGAGTGTCAGCTGCAAAGGGCTCTTGGTACTTCATGAGAAAGATGGATCATAAAGATGTCCAAGGTTGTAGAAGGTTTAAGTCACTAATGGTTGAAACACGGCTATAAAATGTAGGTCCCACCTGCAGGGCACTTAAAAACCTTGCTCAGATTATAATAAGAGCACGTGCAGTAGCAGGAGCTGAGTTCACCTCGCTTGCCTGGGGCTTGCTGGGTCTCAGCCTCCAGCTCCCTGTGCCTCTAAACACATTTTCCCTCTCCCAGGATGAGCACCACAAGGCCTGCATGAACCAGCTCTCAAGGAAGGGAAAGGATGCAACTCTGGGAACCTCTCACTGAAGGCCAAATGGGTAATTCTCTTGTCCCCCCATGGAAATTCTATTATCAACTCCTTCTCCATGGTTTCTGGCATTGGCTAACCATCTCCAATTTTTCTGAGTTTTGAACAAGAGTTAGGTGTGACAGGCAGAAACACAGCCCTGCTGACTTCCTCTCACCACAGTGACCCTGCACCGTGAACCACCTGGAACTGCATGTGAGGCATTCAGAACACCTGGCAGTTTGTGGACCTGTGGATGCATCTCACAGGCAAGTTTTACATGGAGCTGAGAGGGGCCATTTTAAGGAAAAAAACCTACATAATTCTTCCCAACAGGCCTTGTACCCACAAACCCTGCAAGTCCTGCCATGCTATGAGCAGAATATATGTGTTTTTAGAGGTAGAGATGGTGGCGTTCACTTCCCAACACCAGGAGTGGTCGTGAAAGTGGGATGGATTAGTGCTGGGGCCTCATGAGAAGCCCAGTGACCAAGGGGTCAGAGCAGGGCATGCCCCATCACACGGTGTAGGGCAGACGGGAGAGCGGCAACAGGGAACAGCACGCAGAATCCTAAACGCAGGGAAATGCAAAGCCAGACCCCAGGGCTTAATGGACACAGCTCCATGCTGTCAGAGGAGCCTGAAGACAAGCGCATGAAGGCCCTGGCCTCACAAGGGGTGACGGGAGCAGCTCCTGTCTACCTACATGGGCTCTGGGCTGCCCTGATGTGAGATGGTGTGGGACGGGGCTAGGGATGGCACTTCACAGCTCTGCCGCCCACCAGACGGCCCCCTCACTGGGTCACAGCCTGCCAGTGGAACTCCCCTCCGATTTGCACCAGCACCTCCGACAGGCCATAGAGAAAGGGGACCCCGAACGCAAGCAGCTGGCACATGAAAAAGGAGTCCAGAGGGTTTTGGGCCACTTGATTCCCGATTGAAGAAATGTTGCTTTGGAGGTGCTGGCTCATGCCCTTGGCCTTGTCACAGAGGCCGAGGGAGTGACGCGCCACCCAGCCAAACAAGGAAGTGAGGCTACCTGCGCTTCTCTCGGTTGAGCCGGCCACCGCGTTGGCCCGTCCGGTTGCGTCTGTGGTGGGACCATCCTTCAGGGGTCCTCTGGCCTCCTATGAAAGTCCATGAGAAAAAGAAGAGTGACTCTGACTGAAGCACTTAAATCCCCAGAGAGACTGACAATCTGACAGGCTGGTTTTACATTTAATTTTTTTCTTAAGAGGTAGGGTCTTCCTGTCACCCAGGCTGGAGTGCAGTGGCGCCATCACAGCTCACTGCAGCCCCGACCTCCTGGGCTCAAGCGATCCTCCCACCTCAGCCTCTTGAGTCACCGGGAGTCAAGGTCTAGATCCACCTAGGTGCACCTCTTCCTGCAGGTCCCTCTGCAGGAAACAGAAGCCCCTCAAGGGGGACTGACAGGCAGGCATGCTGACAAGGCGGCAGCCATGCTGAAGAGACTGCTGGGTTCACCTTGGCAAAGCCAGGTGGAGAAGCCACCCTCATTTAAAAGACCATAAGAAAGGAAAAAGTTCTCAGACAAATAACTCACAGCATGAGATAACTGAGGGCCCCGCAGGCAGGGCACCCTGTGGGTGTGGGGAGTGAGGGTGGCACTACCAAGGAGCAGAGGGAGCCTTCCGAGTTTCCTCTCCCGCCCCGCCTTTCTGGAGGAGGGCTCCAATCCTCTAATCCTGACGCCATGAGTAGGCGTCACCCCAGTGGCGAGTGTCCTTCTCTCAGAAACGTGCGTGTGTTGACAAAGGCAAATGTCTATGCAGCTGAGTCGGAGGGCTGCATCACCCCCTGGGCCCGACTCAGGTGGCAAGTGGAGCCTTACCTTAATGAGGCAACCTTAGATCACCCATGAAAAGATGGCTCCCTCCCCATCCGGGACTGCAACAGCATCTCGGGCCCTCCCTGCTCCCAAGAGAGGCAAGGCCGCAGGGCATTTGCAGGCTGGCCACTGCAGGCCCACAGCCACATGGCCGCAACACCCACTGCTTCTCCCCCACTTACAGGATGATCACCATTACCTGTCCAGACAGGGGAGCCACCGCTGGTCTCTTCCTCTGTGCGTAGCCAGAGAGCCGATAGCAGTAGTGTGGCTTACAGTAGAATTTACCTGTGAACAGCAAGAGGCAGGGACACAAGCGATGAGCCAGGCCCTGATCCCAAACACGCCTCCCTGGTCTCAGCCATTCCGTTTCATCTCCTTCAGCCTCAGGAGGCCATCAACCCACCCAGCCTTCCCTGGGCCCAGCTTTCTTGTCCAGAGAAGCCAGTTTACCTCCCGGTAAACTCTGATTCCAGCCCTCCTCTCCCCGGGCCTGAGGGGGGTCTCTTCCTTTGGGAATGTGAAGGCCATTGAGGCATCACCCAATCAGTGCCCAGAGCAAAGATGCAAGGCCTGTGTGGCAGGGCCAGCAAACAAAGTGGCAGTGTGTGAGGAACAAAGACGTGGTCACATGAAACGCTGCGAGCAGCATTGCTGGGGAAACCAAGAATGAATACAAGTGTGGGGTGGAGGCGAGGAGGCTGCGGGGTGGGGCATCGCTGGGCACTGGCTCCAACAGGCCCACCTCTGCTGCTCCCCCTCCCGCACCCTATCCCTCACCGCTCCTCCACCAGCCGGCACTGGGCCGACAGCAGGCTGTGTCCCCTCAGAGGGTCAGGAACAGCAGGAAAGGACATTACAAAACAAAAAAGTCTGCAGTGGACTATGAGTAGGATGGAACAGAGCAGAACAGAATAGAACGGAACAAAAACCAGAGGGTACTGTGGCATGATGAGAATGAAACAGTGTATCTTGGAACTTTCAGCTGTGTCTGGGTCTTAAGGTAACGTGTACCCCCCCCCGGGGGTGTGGTCAGAACAATCTGAACAACACTGAGTTTGGCTTTTCCCATGACTCTGGTACTGGAATTAACTTCAGAGTCATTTTCTCTGACTCTTCTTACTCTCACTTAAAGAGGTAAGACTTCTGAATCTCAAGTGATAGACCCTACTATAGAAACTTGAAACAGAGGTCACCCCATTTCATTTTCCTCATTTGTAGAGTGTGCTTCTTAGACAAAAGGGCTTTCCTGATCTCAAACCTACAATAAGAGGACCTCAAAGAAAAGAAAGGTAAGATGGCATTCTTCCCTTTCCCTGACGACCTGATCATATCCTCCTTCTTTTCCTTCAGAGAAACTGACTTCTTTTAGTTTTACCTGCACTCCCCATTCAATGCTGAGTACCTCTGTGAGAAAGACATACCTATCATATGATTTTCATGACACCTAGTATATTTTCTTCAATAGAATGTGCCACTGGCTACTGCCGCTTGGCCAGGATGCAGAGATGCTATAGTGGGAACACCTGACGGCCACAGGATGGCCAGTCTTATGCTTGCTTCTCCAGCAGGGCAGTGCAGCCATGGGATGCTGCTTGTCGCTTCACAGCTGCTTTTCCCCACGTGAATATGCCACTCAGCTTTTGTAAACTTTGGCCCCCAGTAGCTGGGGTGAGATAAAACGTATGAGTGCTTGGATCACGCGCTACGTGCTTTGGTCTGTTTCATGTCTCATTCTTTAAGAAACACCCCGCCCTCCTCCATGTGACTCTGACAGAGGCTGGCAACCAAGTGGCCTGAGTTTCCACCACCAGTAACGCATGACCCAGGCCACCGGGCACCCACTCCCTCCACCCCGCCCAGGACAGGGTGCTCTGCAGACTGCCATGTGGCTAAGGGTGGGCTCGCTGGGTGGTGAGGGGAGGGAAGGGGCAACCCTTCTCTGCTGACGGCTATCTGGATGGAAGCTGTTAAGCGAAGCGTCAGCTGTAATCTGCGTAGCGTTTCTGTTACTTGTACCCAAGAGCTTTGTTTATGACAGTACCCGAAAACTAAAATGTTATCATGGCTTTCCTTTTTTTCTTCTGCTTTTTTCTACATGAATTTGCTTGTTTCTGCAAGATCTTAAAACTATAACTCAATTGAACTCAACTGAATCCTCCCTGAACCCTGCTCTGGTATCCTAAACTAATAAAGAAGAGAGGTGTGCATTTCAAAAACAAGTTTTCCAAGCCTAATAACAAAGTTCCAGAGAACTGTTTTCTCTCGGAAGGCAGGACAGATGACGCGAGGGATATGAGTGCTGTCTCAGTTCCTGAGACCGGCTCACCTTAGTTAGTGCTGTCTCAGCTGCTGAGACCGGCTCACCTTAGTTAGTGCTGTCTCAGTTCCTGAGATCAGCTCACTTAAGTTAGTGCTGTCTCAGCTGCTGAGCAGCCGTGTGAACCCACCAGTCTTTTGGAATATGTCTCCTCCCATGGAGGTGAACACAGCACCCGCCTTGTAGGTAGAGACACTCAATGAGATGGCACAAGTCCTGTGTACACATCTCTCTATATCCCTTCCCAAACTCAACATGATGGAACTTTGTGCTTTAAAAAAATTTTTTTTTAAAGCTAATTTTAATGTTAACATTTACCAAGTGCCAGACACTATATTAACTGCTTTCCACCTATCAACTCATTTAGTCCCCAAATGAGCACGTGAGGCAGGTGCCATCAGTACCCACCTCTTTCGCAGTGAGGCACAGAAGGCCAAGGGACCTGCCTAGCGCATCCCATAGTCAGTGAACCGCAGAGGCGGATGCAGCCCACGATGCTGGCACCAGAGCCTGCACTACCACAACACTGCCAGGCTCACCTCAGTGGCAAACCCAGCTATGCTAATTTTTAAAAATTAGCTATGACTTTCGGGTGATTCAGTTAAGTGACTGATTCTCCTTGGTACCAATTAAGGAATCCTGATAATTGAATATAAGTGTGACTGGAAAAGGGAAATGGAGAAAACAGATGGCCACAGGGGAAACTCAAGGTCAAACAGGCCACTCATTCGTTCGTTCATTCATTCATTCACCCCAGGCCTGAGTGCCACTCAGCTACTGAAGTAGACAGCTACCGATCTGAGCACTGACAGCCCCCCAGGCAAGCAGACAGGTTCTCCAGAGACGCACGGGTAAGATGAGACAGCGAGAGCCCTGCATGCAGAACCATGTGGGCACAGCAGTGCCTGAGCTGCTGCCCTCTATCAAAAGGGCCAGATGCCTCTCTGAGGAGCACTACATGGAGACGGTGGCCACAGGCAGCTCACCCTGTGGAGACCTGGGGGTACACTCCAGGAGAGGACACAGAAGAGCCCCGTCCTCAGGGAGCAGTGGCTTCATCATGTGTATGGGATGGAATGATGCTGGAGGGAGGAGCACAGCACACTGGGGGCAGCTGGGGTAGATGCACAATGCCCTCTCCGCCTGGGACAAGGCTGTGTGCTCTCTGCATGGCAGTGGCTAGGACATTGGTGAGATCCAAGTCACACCTTTTAAAATCCCTCTGGTTGCCCTGTGGAAACAGACTGGGGTGTAACAGAGGCAGCAAGGCCAGCAGTCCAGGCAGAAGATGTGTGGCTGGCTTGGGGGCTGCTGCAGGGATGGAGACCACCTCAGGCTCATCACTGACGAGGACCATCCTGCACATACCACCTGTGCAGGTAGTGTGTGCCTCTTCTCAAGATGACAGGAAAGGGCCTGACATTGTCTAATTTAGGGTCCTTATCTTAAGAGCTGGCAGCTATCACAAATGAGCTAGTGCTTTGCAAAAAAAAAAAAAGAGCAGCTCTGTGTTTGAGTAGATGGCATCCCTAGAAAGAGCTGAAGACAGAACAAACAGCACCACAAGTAAAACACAGAGACAGCTTCAAATATGATTCTCAATTTTCTAGTATGGAGTTGGCAGCAGGCCTGAAGTCACTACCCCGAATCTCTGACCTGGAGTGAATCTCGGGTGTCATTCGGTGCAAGCTGGCTATCACTAGTTGTGTCAATTTGGACAAACTATACGTAAGTTCTCTGAGTTCAGCTTCCTGACTTCTAATTACAGTAACAAAGAGCTACCTCTTTTTTTTTAAAAGGTGGAGTTAAAAATAATAATAAAATAAAATAAAGAGCTACCTAATGGGGTTGTTGTGAGGACAAAGGGTGTGATGTGTTGGCCCAGCACAGGCCTGGGTTACTTTCTCACACCACAACCCCCGTGGCTTATTCTTTGTTTTCTGAGGCTCTTCAGTTAGATTTCTGAGTCACTTGGCAATCTGGATAAAGAACAGGCCCCTGAAGTTCCTTCCTGCCTCTAGTCCACCTGTCCTCTGACATCTGTGGAGGGACTAAGCTGATGAAATTTTTTCGGGGTTAAAATCTGGGGAGCTGGTTTAGCACGGCTGTTTCTCTGCTCCAGTGTCAAAAATACGGCACTCAACCAGGCTGGCCTCATCGTGCCCTGGCCTCATGGTCACTGCCATCCGAGCTCCTGCCAGACGTGCACCTCTGCCCTCTACTCAGCCACCATACCCTTCTCTCTCCAAGTCTAGCCAAGGGTCGGGGAGGTCATTCCAAGCTGCTCTTGAAGTTCATGGATTTCCTCCTCCCCTGCGCTTCTATGAAGCGACAGCCTAGGCTGTGTGGCTGGGTCTTTCACTGCACAGACTCGTGCTGCCTGCTACTCTGTATGGTCTCATCCCCACAGGAAAGGGAGCTCCTGGAGGCACCCATTATCCTTCTGCATCCTCCACAGAATGCAGCAAAGATGCACACCCATGCAGGGGCAAAAGTACTCATAGATCAATCAGCTGCACCTTGCGGCATCTTCTCTCGGGGAAGATCCCACGGTGGGAGGCTAACTAGGCAGCTGAACGAGGCTGGGTGGGCTCCCTCTGCCAGGCCCCATCCCTGAGATCAAAGGCGCGATCCAGAGAGCAGGTGTGTGGGAGAAGCAGAACAGAAGACTTGACAGCTAACAATCTGCCTGCCTTATCTAAACAGCGTCCTAATTCTTCTGTTCTTCCCCACTCAGGAGTGCTTTTTACCCAGGCACCATAGTAGATAGGAGTCAGCCTTTCTCAGCTCACCTCTCTGGGCTCCTTCTGACAGAGGTGCCTGTTTGTTCACTCTCAGGACGGCCAAAGTGACTAGGTCCTAATGGCATGGCATCCCTCTCCTATATGACGTCACTTTATAATCTCAAAGACAAGCAATCTTCTATCAATGTCAGGGACTTTATGTCACCTTATAAAGATTACTGCCTCTCAGCCAGGTGCAGTGGCTCATGCCTGTAATCCTAGCACTTTGGGAGGCTGAGGAGTTTGAGACCAGACTGGCCAACATGGTAAAACCCCATCTCTACCTAAAATACAAAAATTAGCTGGGCATGGTGGTGCACGCCTATAATCCCAGGTACTCAGGAGGGTGAGGCAGGAGAATTGCTTGAACCCAGGAGGTGGAAGTTACAGTGAGCCAAGATCGTGCCAGTGCACTCCAGCCTGGGTGACAAGAGCGAAACTCCGTCTCTCCAAAAAAAAAAAAAAAAAGATTACTGCCTCTCCTATTACTCTAGGCCCCTCATTACTCCGGAATCTATAAGACTACCTCCCATGAAGCCCCTCCAGCATCCTACAGGAATAGGCGTAAGATGGGGGTCATCAATCCAACCAAGGTCATCAGATGGTGGCCAGCTTGCCTCTGCCCATCGTGATGGCTCTATCCTTGTGTACACAATTCTCTACTGTTCATCTCACCAAGGTCTTTTCACTGTAAAAACCAGCACATGTTGCAAAAGACCAGGCCTTGAAAACCACAGTAAAAGACTCAGGCCCCGCGCAACAGTTTTCAATTCACCAGACAGAGATTAGACAGAGCCAGAGAGGTGTTAACCCGAGGCACCTTGCAGTCACCTCCAAGAGCAGATGTCTGAGAACCCAGGGACCTGGGACCCAGCTCCAAGTTGCTGTCATCCACCTTAGGCAAAAACTGTGACTTCTATGGACTTGCAAGTCCCCTCTGTAAAGATAAAAACCTTATCTTTATTGTGTTCCTTTTATCTCAAGTTCCCACCCTGAGGTCAGAAACCAAGTAAGTGTCCTGAGGTTAGGGAGCCGACTGAGGAAATGTACGCCATTCTCATCAGCCTGGTGACGCTGGGAAATATTTACAAGTGTCTCAGAGGAAGAGCGACGGAGGGAGAGAGGGGCGAGAAGGGTTGCGAGAGGCATGGTGAAAAAGACACACATGGAAGAAGGCAGGAAGGGGCCCAAAGGCCCCCAGCTCGAAGGGAAACAACGTCCAAGCACAGTTTCTCAGTGGGGCCGGAGGCACGAGGCGTCTCACCGTCCTCGATGTCGTAGGCGTAGGCTGAGAGGCGCAGGGTGGTGGCGCAGTACTCGCACTTGAAGCAGCTCCGGTGGAAGAACTTGCCCTCGGCACTCAGCCTCTCCATCACGTAGACCCGCTTCTGGCAGAAGTAGCAAGTGTCGCTGCCTCCCAGGTTCTGCGGGAACTCCTTCTTCATGGAGCCCTGCAGGAAGCAGTGGGCAGGTGGAAGAGGAGCACCCCAGGGAGTGCCACGCAGGCCCCCCTAGAGGTGCACAGCCCTGGTGAGAGCGAAGCCGACACTAAGTGGTCTGCTTTGAGACACACTACTAACTGGCTACGGTCAACCATGCTCTCGTCTCTGCCACAGAGCGATGGCACCACCACATTCAATGCCTCTGCGCGCTGGCAGACAACACTCAGCACCACCGCTAGAGCCCGAGCCAGCCTGCCACTGATGAGGGAGCCAGCATCACAGAGCTTCACACCAGACCTGAGTAATGCTATGATACAGCCTGGCAAGGCTGGGAAATATCTCTGAGAAGAGTTTTAGAGAAAGAGCAATGGAGAGAGAGGGGCGAGAAGAGTTGGGAGGGGCATGATGGAAAAAACACACATGGAAGAAGGCAGGAAGGGGCCTGCGGGTCCCCAGATGAAACGGAAATGCGGGCAGAGTTCTGTTTCGAGGATAACTGTATCGGTATCTATTCAGTGTTGGCGTGGTTCTACATGAATATATCAGGGTCCCCCAGACTCTAGAGTGACCACTGTTTCACACAACTATTGCAGTTTTAGAAACCTGGTTATCAAAATCCAGACAACTTCAAAAGCAATCACCGCATGGCATATACCGGCTGCACAAGTTATAAGCGACTCAAGCACACAGGTGTTTCTCATGGCTGTGCTGGGTCCAGCCAGACAGTGCCTGGAGGCGTCTCTTACCAGTTCCTTCTTGTCTAGAAGGGCTTTGGGCTGCTCTTTCCTTTGAAGCTGATTGGCTATCTGCTCAGCCAATGAGCTCACTCCGCCTGTGTACATCTTTATATACTTCTATTGGTTGAAGATTACAAAATGACATAAATGAAGGGACATGAGAAGGGAAAAAAAATACATAAATTAAGAAGTCACGGGAAAAAAAAGAAATCTTTGAGAAGTGCAATTTGAATACAAGGTGAAGCAGCAAACCATGCCAACACAGTGCTCACAAGCAGGAAAACCGGTGGTAAGAAAAACATCGCTTCAGTGTCCACACAGGGGAACCAGCACAGGCAGGACGGCTGCAGGGAAAGCGTCTTCCTCAGCGAGAACTTGGTCTCTCCCATCTCTGTGGAATGCACAGTTCCAGGGAATGGTGGTAGAGGCAGGGCAAACGCGCAGAGAGAAGGGCAGGCAGGATCTGGGTCCTGCTAAGCCCGGCTACGTTCACAGAGCTCAAGGGGTGCCATGCACGCAGTGGTACCCAGGCTCACCCCGCCTCCCACGGTCCAGGAGGCCCACTCCCCCATCAGAAGGAGCCCCACTTGCTCCTGCACAGGCAGCCTCTGCGTGGGTGGCAGTCGTCGCCAGCTCTTCCTGCTACCTGACGCTTGACCCACAATGCCTGCCACAGGCAGCGAACACTCCCAGGCTGTTTTGGAAGAAGGCTTCTCAGCCCATTCTCCCTGCTGATGAAGGGTCTAAGGGCAGCACGATGAGGCCCGTGTGGCCCACCCAGGTGCTGAGGCCAAGGCCTTCTAGACTGGGCTGGGCACGCTGGCCACAAGGTGTGACCATGCAGCCAGGCTGCTCCACCAACCCAGGGAGAGAAGAATGTGTTCTAGGCCAAGAGGGATTATTTTTGAGGTTGAAGAAAGGCAACAGAAAAAACCCAACCAACTCATGCCTCTTTCTGGCAATGCTGAAGAAAGCACAGGAGAAACTTCCACGTCTCCATCGTGAGGTGTCCTGCTCACACCTAAGCTGGGCGCCCAGGCAGTCCCGCCCTGACCTGTCCCACGAGGAAGTCCTCTAGAGACTCTACAACCAGGTCATCCTTCCAAGTGAAGATGGCCATGCCACCATGTGTATGAGGCTCCGCTCATGAACTTCATGCAGTAAGGGGGCTCCTTGCCCTGTGGGGGAACCCAACCCTAATTCTGACTCAGAAACTCACCATCAGCCATGGTCCTGGGGATGCCAACAGCCCCCCCATAGGACATGGCCTGAACGGACAGATGCATAAGGTCACGTGTGAGGAAGAATCACAGAAGCGCCGGGCAGGGGGAAGCAGGCGCTCGAGGGCTCACAGGCGCACACGTGAGGAAGCTGTTCCCGTGGCTAAGCTCAAGGCTCGGCTGAACCGAAGAAGCAATTATAGCTTTTAATTCAAAAACAGGATTCCCAAGGATTGGTGCCATGTGCCCATTAACTTCACAGATTAGACCTATGAGTGGTCAGGACAAACTAGTGGCTCTTAGATCTAAACCTTCTTTAGATTAGGGACACTGAAGAAGCTCAGGCTTGGGACAGACAGACACCAGGCTGAGCTGAGCAGACACTGAGAAAGAATAGAATGGCATTACTCTCATTCTGCAGCAGACATGGGGGAGTGTGGACCAGATGCCAAGTTGAGGCCAGGACACAAAGTCAGCCCTGCGCCCTCACTGCTCAGCCAGGACCCTCCTCTCCTGACCCAAACCATCAACCACAGCAGTTACAGTCCACGGCTGCCTGGACCCTTTTCTCCCGATGAAACCCACCAGCCTCAGCAGTTATAGCCCAGGGCTGCCTGCACAAAAGTATCTGCCACATTCGGTTCCCGGCAAGGCAGCAACACTGACGAGCATCCCCTCCACGAGAGGTGAAGACTCAAGTTCTATTTGTTTCTGGCATGAAAAGCAGATGGTTTCCTTCCAATCACTCTTAAAAAACAGAGGAAATACAGCAATCGCAGGACTTAGCTGCACACCCCACGTGTGCACAGGCCACCATCCACATATGCCTTGCAGTCCAGTGTCAATCAGGGACAGGAAATAGCAGCAGGAAGCGCAAAGAGACCTTCCAGCCTCTCTAGAAACTCCTTACAGCGGGACCAGCGCCACTGCAGGTGACAGCGGCGTTCATTCCTCAAACGGTAATAGGCAGCCAGAATGCTGCATCGTCACCCCTCCATTGAGGCACCCCTCCATTGAGGCGATTTAATCACACTGTGGTTCCTATTTTGTAACATGTTACATTGGAAGACGTGTGAGGTTAAAAAAAAGCCAACAGCTGAAAAATGTTGATCATTATTTGATACAGTTTAAGTAGGATCAAAGCAGGTTCACGCTGACAGACCTGGATGTGACAAACAGCTGGATGAAAGCCAGCAGACACTGTAGCTGAGGAGTGTGCCACGCACCTCACACACAAGACTGGCACACGCAGCCAGCAGCACACGTAGCCAGCTGCCTAAGGAGACAGGCCCAAGTGAGGAGCCTCTTGGGGCAACGGCACTTGGAAAGGGAGGGAGTGGAGGCCGCAGAGGGCAGAGATTCAGTGAGTCCTAGGCCATGCTACCTGTCGGAGGCAGTCGGAGGAGGGAGAGGCAGGGCGGGCGGAAGAGCGGAGGCTAAGAGAAAGCTCCCACTGGTCGACAAAAAATCGACGAGGAGGTTCAGGCTCTGGCTATAAAATACAAGATGGAGAAAAACAAAATCAAAGAAATGTTAAATTAAGTCACACACTGACCTCTGAACATAAGATGGCTGGCAGCTGTAGAGTCTTTTGCTGTAGACCGTTACCTAAATACCACGTGCTCCCAGAAGCATGAGTGGCCCTGCAAGGCTTCCGTTTTGCTTTTATCTATCCTTCCTGCAGGCTTGCAGCAGAGCACGCCCTGGAACGCAGTCCCGCAGCTGTGGGCTGCCTGGCATAGCGTTGCCTCCCTCTGTGTGGGTAAGGCAGCCAGCAGGAGGATAGATAGGGCAGGGGGGTGTCCTACCAACTCACATGCTCTGTGCTCTGCAGAGAGCATCCCCTGGACTGAGCTGGGATTTCTCCAGGGCAAAAAGATTCTGCCACCACCCCATCATTCCACTGGCCTTATAAATAGCAGGCAGTGGAGAGAGCAAATCTAGAGTGAAGCTTGCTCCTTCTACATAAGGGCCAGGAATGCAGCATCTCTTCCTTCCACTGCTAGTGTTCAGGGAGGCTCTGCTTGCCAAGGAGCCAGCTGAATCCCAAGCAAAGATGAGGAGAAAAGACTTGAGCCCAAGTCCTCTGCAGACTGCACACAGCACATGTAACAAAACTGGACAAGGGTCTTCCTCAGTCGTGGGCCCATGCAGCTAGGAACCCAGTCCCCAGAGAGTGAGGCAGTGACTGAAAGCTTCGGCAACCAGTAACTGCTGAGTTTCCCACCAGATTCAGAATAAACTAATCACAGGTGGGACAGACAGCATTATGTCAAGGTACTAGGAAGCCCTCTGCTTCTCCAGCTCCAAGCCAGATCTGTCACACCCTCAACCTTGGCCACGTGCACTTCACAGTTCCATGGGGTGGCAACATGCAGTGGCAGTTACCTGGTGCCTCACCAGCCTCTGCTGCAGACACTCACCCAGCTCCCTGGCCCTGGTCTCAACAACACAGGCCCGAGAAAGCTGGAAGGATGGCTGTACGCACCACCCGCCAGAAGGAAGCAAGAGGAGGACTCAGTATCCCCCTGGGAGGCAGAGGGGTCGAAGCCAAGGGAGGCGTGGGGGTTGGGTAGAGGGGGGACAGAAGGTGGGTGAGTGCACATGCAGGGTTACGAAGGGTGGCAGCAAAGTCCAAGAAAAGAACATAGGTGGTGTCCTCAAAAGCATCCAGCCTGGAGCCCTGGACCGAGGAGTGCAGAAACCAGCTCACGGGGAAAAAGAGAGAAACCTCCCTGCAAACCTTACTTCCTCCTGAGCTCAAAACCCTACCTCTTCCCCTCTCCGCAGAGCAGCCCTAGACTTCAAATTGTTTCTCACTGCCAATCTCTCCTATTCAACATGCTTCCCTCCTTCTTTTAGACACTGTTTCATTAAACATTATCAGCATCTCATTAAATATGCGATCCCCAAAATGGAGGGCACTGCCCTACTCAATGAAAAGGGCGCTTTCCTTTTGGAAGGGACACAGCCTGGGAAGAAGGGAGAAAGGGTGAGCACAGCGGGGCGAGGCCATGGGAAAGACCCCCACCTCCAGCCCAGTCTCCTCTCCCCGACCCAGCACCGGGTGCGGGCAGCGCACACTGCCTGCAGCTAGCCTGGTGAGAGGGCAAAGAAGATGGCACTATGATTCGCTGCTATCGGGTCCGAGGGGTGACCTGATTTACTGCTTGGCCACCCTGCATTTCTTAGAGAGCAAAGGCAGACAGGGAGTTAAAAACCAAAATGGCTCTTGTGAAGTTACCAACTAGAGATGATTCTTCCCACTAGCTGCAGAGCTATACCCCTCAGAGACCTTCCAGGGCAGGAATAACAAGAACACAAGTGTCATGAAGTAGCCGGCTTCTTTAACTGGGCATCTCAGCTACCGCTCACTTTGCATGATGGGCAGCTGCAATCAGTAATCCCTCCTTGGTTTTTCAGGAAAGACTAAAGCTTTCCACAGTTCAGCCCCATCTTGCTATCACCTGCCTTCAGCCTCCTCATCCTCATCCTACTGGAAAAATCCTCACACTGGTAAGGGTTTTGGCTCTCTCATGATTTTCACTTCAGGACCCACGACTGTTGAATGCCACGTGGATGCTGATCTGCGCCCTTCCCCTAAGAAGCTCATCTGACAGTCCAGAGTTATGACTCTACCACTGGCACACACTTTGGAGTGGAAACAGTATGGTCTTGGAAGGGGAAAAGTGGGCAGAAATGGGAAGGCATTAAGGTCCTTTAGAAGAAGCCACACACTTAGGATCAGCATCCCATCTGAATGCCAGGTGGATGACTGCTTTATAGTGAACGCTGTCTGCACTGGTCAACATGCCTAGCAAAAAAGAACTCTGGCTTTTGGCTGGGTGACAAGAGTGTGCAAAAAGCAAAGGGAAGGGCTGTCTCCCACATCCCCTCCCACTGCCCCACCACCACAGCGTGCCCCGTCTGTTTGGCTCTCAGCATCCCATGCCACGGGTTCATGCTCTTTTACCCTCTCATGGTGGGGGCTCTGCTTGCCACGGCTGTCAGCATCAAGATCCCTGTATGTCTGTTGGCAACAAAGCAGAAACTTAAGCTCCATGGATATGGCTCTATTTGGACCTACTAAGTGACAGTGGGAAATTCAGGGGCAGAAATTCAGAGTTCAACACATATACCCTTCCCCTCCGAACCCCATCCCCAGGTAACCATAATCCCATCTATACCAAATCCCACGCCACAGGCCGACCTTCTGCACAGCCATTCCACCCACGCGGCCTCCAGTGAGGCCGGCTACACTGATCAATAAGGAACTGAGGTTAGTACAAAGGTGAACAAGCACAGCTCTCTCACAGTGGCGTCAGATCAGAGGCACTAAACGGAAAGGTTACAAGGAGAGGCAGGTTAAAAGGCTGACACATTCCACAGCGAGATATTTTAGGAAGGAAAGGTGGGGAGGTGGAAATTGGCTAGAATATAAATGGCTATGATAGCAGTCCAGAGCAAACTCCAGAGTGGGGAGTGGTCCCTGAATAGGAACGTGGGACCAAAGCATAATTTAGTAAAGGGAGAAGTGAATTTGTTTTTGATGAACAGACGGAATGTGTATGTGGGAGGGTAGAGACCTGCAGGCAGGCACACGGCCTTGCGCATCTGAGGAGCCATGAATGGCAATCACAGGACCAGGGGCAGCTGCTCCCACCACTCTGGAAGGCTAAGGCTTATAGCCACGTACCAGTGGAAAAATGGCCCCAAGGCCTCTGACATGGCTGCTCCTATCCAGCAGCCATGAGCATAATGTCTCTGCGGGCAGGGGGAGGCTGGAGCATGGCCCCAGCCCCACAAGCCACATTCAAGTCTGGCTGCATGGCTTACTATGTGGCTCAGGCACGTGGCCTCTCCACCCTATGCCACAGTCTCCTCCCTGGTGAAATGGAGCCACTAACAGCACCTGCCTCACAGTGTTACTGTGAGAACTGACGGAGACACTGCTTGGAAAGAACTGAGTGTGCGTCCCAGGCGGTAGCAGGTGCTGAGGACGGCTAGCTCCTATGCAGATGAAGGTACTCAGCAGCTGCTCGACCTACAACGGCTCAGTTCTGAGAACCACGAACGCAGGTGGGGCCTTTAAGATCAGTCACATTACTATAGTCATCCTTCAAACAGGACACCTTAGTTGGGAAAATGTCTTTCCATAGATCCTGCTCTGGGAATTCACATTTTACTTTATAGGAACATACATACCATGAAGGTCAACAATGCCATCCCACAAATATGCTTTCTACAAATGTCTTGCTACAGCTGCACGCCTGCTGTCCTCACTGGCCGTGTCTGTGGCTAGCTATGGAGCCGCTCCTGGATGGTCTGCCCAGTGTACCAGCACAGAGGGTAGGAGTATTTGGTGGAAGATGCTGAACGGGTAAGCGGCAGAGCTCCCAGTATCAGAAGGAGCCAAACTCATGTGGAGAAGCCCTGCAGCAGCTCCCTAAGGCCTTAACCCCGCTCACTGTGCAGCAAGAGAAAAAAGGGTTGCCTTCAGTGGGTTTCTGAAAAACAGGCTGCCCTGAGGGCTGGGGGGCTCGGCTGTGTGACAAATATCAGTTATAGTTTAGCTTCATGGTGGCACAGTCGTGTTTCCCTGATGTGGGACTGCCCAGGGTCAGCTGTGAATGCAGGACGCACCACCCTGAGGGCCATAAAAGTTGCTTCCACCACAAATGGTTTCTATGAATGGCCTTTCTTTCTTCTTGACAGTCACTGCTGATAAGAGGGAAACTGATTTGGTCTCTACGCTAGCTGCCTACACAGACAGGCAGGGAGACACAGACAGGACCACAGAGCATGCAGAGAGGATCACCTGCTGGCCACCGTGCGCCCGACAGGGAGGTGGAGTAGGGGAAGGAGACAGGGTGATCACTTTTTTGGGGCAGGTCCGAGAACACTCCTTTTCCCGTGGCTTTTACACCAACAGACACAAAGAAAGAGAACATTATTGAAACAGTGGCCCTGTGGAGGCTGGTTCTGGGCGGACTGATGGGCATTCGTCAGAAGCATCCCAGGGGGCCTTTCCTTGCCCCTCCATGCTCAGAGGGCAGGCTGGTGGTCTGCGTGGACCCCCAGGTGGCACGTGAACCTTCTGACAGGCACAGCCACAGAGGTGATCTGCGGAACTAGGGAGAACCAGTAGCACGGCACTTTACAGGTGCCAGGAGCAACAGTTTTGTCAGAAAAGCTGGGGCTTGTGGCTGGGCACTGTGGATCCCGCCTGTAATCCCAGCACTTTGGGAGGCCGAGGCAGGTAGATCACCTGAGGTCAGGAGTTTGAGACCAGCCTGGCCAACATGGTAAAACCCCGTCTCTACTAAAAATACAAAAATTAGCTGGGTGTGGTGGCTCACACCTGTAGTCCCAGCTACTCGGGAGGCTGAGGCAGGAAAATCACTTGAACCTGGGAGGCAGAGTTTACAGTGAGCCATGATTGCACCACTGCACTCCAGCCTGGGCGACAGAGCGAGACTCCGTCTCAAAAAAAAAAGGAAAGAAAGAAATAGGCTTGCTGATGAATACAGAAAAAGGGCAAACAAGCCAACCACCAAAAGGGGACACAGGCCCCCTCAAAGGCTTGGTCACATGCACCTGCTGCAGCAAAGCAGCAGCCCCTCAGGACGCAGCTATGACAGTGGCTTGTACTGCTGCCCTCCTCTCAGTCCCTGCACTCACGCTCAAAGGGCTCCAGGAAACTAACAAGGAAATGCAAGAAAGGCAGGAGCATGATGTAAAAATTAAACGTGTCTCACTAACATTCAAATGCCATATACACGTTCCTGGCTTTACCCTCATTCCGGCCCCTCCACTGTATTCCCTTCCGTGAGTCTGTCTACAATTTAGAAGGACCCCTGGTAGTTGAGAAACAATCACACATTCCCAGGCCTCTCTGATACCTTCCTGGGAAACTCTCATTTCCCTGTGCCCAGGTGACCCATGGGGCAGCGCAGGGTGAGGGGGAGCAGGGAAGCCACGAGGCCTGGGGAACAGCCCCGCACTTGCTCAGAGCTCCCACAACAATCTACTTCCAAACCAGGGCTGATTAACACACAGAGCTTCCCTTCAGGATGCATTTCTGAGATCAAAAGGCAAAAGGGTGGGGAAGGGAAGAGCCACAGTGTTTACAAAGGAAGGAAATAAAGAGAAGCCACTGGCAGGCAGAGCTATTAATTTCCCTGTTCCATACGATGGCCTGGGCTGAAAGTGGACCTCTGTTAACTCAGCTAACACTGCCCTGCCAGGCAAGGCCCTCCTGCCTCCCAACCACCTCCAGAGAAACATCATGAGTCACAATGGGGTGCTGCCAGTCAGCTCGGCTTCCTGAAGGGAGATGTGGAGGACCAGCCACTGGGGCATCAGATGTAGGTCCGGGTACCACTAGGGTCCCTCCAGATTTCTGTAGTATCTGGCACTGCTGGGTGTGGTGGCTGCAACTCCAACTCTCTTACGGGAAATATTTTTAGAAGGCCCAAACTCACGACTTAGAGCTGAGAAAATTCTATGTAAATACTACACATTTCACATGGATGTAAGAACTGTGAGTTCTGGTTCACAGTGCCACCTTCCTGCTACCACGTAAATTCGCAAATCCCCACTGGATATCCCCTAAAGCACCAGAGAACCTAACCGGGTTCTCACAGCTCATGATTTCTCACCAATCACGTCTCATTTCTACATCTGCCCAGCTACTGTCTGCAACACTGGTCTCCCGCGCCCATCCCGCATTCACTTTCATGGTTCTATTCCACTGCCCACACAGCCTGCCAGTCTCCTGCCCCACCATGATCATACTGACTCAGGTGACAAGCTGCATTGGCGGGGACTACCAACATTCTCCAGGGAGAATGCGGCATGAGGGTTACAGGCCACCAGACACTTAGTGAACATATCACCAAGCTCCTGAAGCCCCTCAGTGCAGCTCAGTCACACGATGAGCTGATGCATCTCCCGTCACCAGGGCTGAGGCCTTGGCTGGACCAGGTCACTCTGGCTGCACGTGCTGCCCGAGACTTCCAGCTGCCCACCGAACACCATCCAGCCACTCTGGCCGTGGCCACCTGTTCCTTCATTCGCCTGTGTCACCCCCGACCTCCCCTCTCCCTCTGCTCCTGTCTCAGGCACCTGTTACAATACTGTCAGAGGGTTTACTATCCAATTTACAGTTTCACTTTCCCCTCAACAGATCCTCAACTAAACATCATCTTTCAAATCATACCTTCCACCTAGACATCAAGGCAAAGGTTAAGAAAATAAAAGGCAAGTGGTTTTCCAATTAGATTTTTCAGAAGACCTCCCTCAAGCACAGAGGAGAGGGTAAATTTGCCTTCTGTTGTGAGTTTGGATACTGCTTCCAAAATTCCATCTCAGCCTCTTGGGCCCTGCCTTTGATGTGCTATGTTATAAAAGAATGGTTAGAAAGCAACATTTTTGCCTGAATGTAATTTAAGTAAAACCAAACTCACCACTCCTCAGCATCTCCTGACAGTAAAGTCACCCTTGGGTACAGGAGGCTGTAGACTGTGGGAGACACTGACGGCACCCAGGGCCAGCTCATGGCCCTCTCAGCATCTTAGCAGCCTAAATGACATCACGCTATGAGGCAGCCAACCCTGGCTCCACTCGAGAGCAGGGATTTGCTCAGCTGTGACATGGAGGAAACAGAGTCAGGGCTTCCAATCCCTCTGATGGGTTCTCTCTTAGAAAGCACTTGTCATCACCTGCCCTATTCTGTACTACTTAGGATAAGCAGTTTTCCAAGAGATCCTGTCAAGGTTTCAGTGAAAATTTCCAAAAACGTTAATTTAAATGTAGAGAAAACACCAAGAAAATGTCCAGGAATACTTTCATCCAGGATTCGAAACAAACGAAAACCCACTGTTCCAGACTCTTCTCGGATAATGTTTTCCTGTTTAATGTAAAGGCTCTACGCTCCAACTCTCAGGCTTGACACAGAACTCTCTCTCCCAAGGTCACGAGGAGACACACTAGAAAAAAATCAACCTACAACAAATGTGACAATAGCAAACCCAAGAGCTGGGTACCCTTGGGTGAGTCACCTACCACATAGCTTCAGCGAGTTTCAAACCAAATCATCAGTCTCCTTTCCAACTCTCTCAAATCCCCGGGAGTTACACAGATCATGGAGCCAATCAGCACAGCCGGGTCAATGTTTCCCAGGCCACTACTTGAATGAGCAGAGGCTTCCGGCCCTCGTGAGCTAGGATTCCAGAGCACAGGCCTGAACCCTGGCTGGCTCAGGAGGAGGGATGGGAAGGCCTGGAGAGACAGCACCCATCATGGCCCTGGCAGTTCCTTTACCTGTTTCCACTGGGGTGTGGGGACAGGGCGACCCTGCCCAGGCAGGCAGCAGGACGGCTGGCTGGCCCCACGCTCTTGTGTCAGCTGGGACACACGGGATGTGGGTGGGGACAGGACATGGAGACAAAACAAAATAGAAATATATTAAGGTGGGAGAACAGAAGAACTCACAGGGGACAGCCACACATCTGTGAGCTGTGGGGAAGAGGGAGGATTCATTCTTAGAAACCTACACTTCTAAAGCGAAGAGCCCCGCCACCCGCAAACCAAAAGGAAATCCAAAAGAACAGAAAAAGGAAAACAGAAGCTGTGACACCCATTATCTCTTTCCCAAGCTACATGTTCTGAGTCTAAACCACTAATTCCGACTTGGAAAACTAATAATCCCATCCAAAATGAGGAAAGCAACCTTCTCTTACAGGCAGTCTTCCTTTAACAGACAGCTTTCCAGGCTTCCCGAGGCAGGGGACCCTGGGGCTGCCAGAGCCTCCAGATAACCTCAACTATTTGTCAGTGAACATCATCACCTTCTCTGTGAGCCACAGCATGAGAAGGCTGGTATGCAAAGACTGGGAGGTAGTTAATTACGGCCAGACTCCTAGCAAAGCTGGTCCCTCCCCTCTGGTCCCTAGGAAGAAAGGCTGATGGGCATGGAGAGGATGAAGAGACAGAAAGGCAATTCAGAGAAGGGGCCCCTGCCTCTCTCCAGTTATCAGGGAGATTTATAAGACACTTTCAGTGTCAATCTCCAAAATCCCAGCCCCATATCTTGTAAGAAGTCAGAGTGACTTTTAGACAAGCAAGGGGAGAGACACACCCTAACAAAGACACCCCAAGCCACAAGCTGTTGCCATGCACTCTCACGCATGGCACGTGGGAGTGCCACTTAGCACTCAAATGCTCATATTCCTGGGAAAATGTCCTGGGAAACAGCTGCAACACACAAAGGAAGCTTCATCACAAGAACGTTTATCTCTGTATCTTATCATGAAAGATGAGAAACAACTTGAACATCCAACACTGGAGCAAGAGCTAAGAGAAGCCTGATGCCCCCATGTTCTAGAAGGCACTTGCAGAGTTAGGAACATCGGAATGCCTAAGGTTAAATGGAAGAAGTAGAATCAAAAAATATAGTTAAGAATGACATCACCTACCAAAACAAGAATACACTGAAGAAAAGACCAGAAAGAAGGGCAGGAAAATATTAATAGAATTACAGGTGGCTCAATTACCTGTACTGTACTTTTCAGCATTTTTCTCAGTAAGCATGTATGTCTCTAGAATTTAAACACGTCTGCAAACATGTACAGATGCACAGGTATATAAATACAGATTTTTTTTTGATCCCTCTGCTGATTCTTACCAGTGGACATCTCGGGCCTGAACACTGAGGACAGAGCAACGCTCAGACCCTGAGGCAAGCCAGACATCAGTCTTGAGCCCATGAACCCTGGGATCCATGACACAGCCAGTCTCAATGGACAGAAAAGATCCCCTTCTTGTGTGACCTGACACATCTGTGTGGTGAGGCGCAGGTCGCGTTTACCTGTCTCCGGATGCCAATGGACTGGGCGGGTGCATTCTCCTCAAATTTGGCCAGCAGCTGGGTTGCCATGTACTTCACTTTGTTCTGGTTCCCAAGGGCAGCGTCCATCCTCCTGTCCGTCAGAGTGCTCACCAGGCTCGGTCTTTCTCCTCTGTGGCCCCGGGGAGCTTCCTCCTGATCAACACCAACCCCAAAGAAGCCAGCGCTGTGACAGGAGACTCCCCCCATACCCCTCTCCCTCACAGAAGTGTGCTCAGAACCTGGCAAGGGGACTGGTGGTCTGGCTTTAGGTTGAGCTTGGCAGCTCTCAAGCCTCCTGTGTCCACAAGCAGACAGCAAGCCTGGAACTAGCGCTGTCTAAAGAGTACTGGGTCCAGTGCTGGTATTGCCACAACCCAGGAAAGCCACCGCCCTCAGACACATGTGGAACAAAGAGACAAGGAGGCCCCGGTGCACGTGTATGCATCCCTAGGTGCACTATGGAAAACAAAACAAAGGCAAACATCCACAGAAAAAACCCAAAGAGGCCAGGCACGGTGGCTCACACCTGTAACCCTAGGACTTTGGGAGGCCAAGGCGGGTAAATCGCTTGAGGCCAGGAGTTCGAGACCAGCCTGGACAACCTGGTAAAACCCCATTTCTACTAAAAAATTGGAACAATTTGGCTGGGTGTGGTGGCTCATGCCTGTAATCCTAGCACTTTGGGAGGCCAAGGTGGATGGATCACTTGAGGTCAGAAGTTCAAAACCAGCCTGGCCAACATGGTGAAACCCCATCTCTACTAAAAATACAAAAATTAGTGGGACGTTGGTAGTACACACCTGTAATCCCAGCTACTTGGGAGGCTGAGGCACGAGAATCGCTTAAACCTTGTAGGCAGAGGTTGCAGTGAGCCAAGATTGCACCACTGCACTCCAGCCTGGGCAACAGAGCCAGATTCTGTCTTAAAAAAAAAATCACAAAAATTAGCTGGGTGTGGTGGCAGATGCCTGTAATCCCAGCTACTTAGGAGGCTGAGGCAGGAGAATTGATTGAACCCAAACCCAGGAAGTGGAGGTTGAAATGAGCCCAGATTGCACCACTGCACTCCAGCCTGGGCAACAGAGCAAGACTCTGCCTCAAAAAAAAAAATAAATAAAAAGAAAGAAAAAAGAAAAGAAAAAGCCCAACAGAAATTCTCATAAAAGATGAACATGAAAAGGCCTAGCAATATCAATGTGAAAATGAAGGATTTAAACCAAAAAGGGCTATTCCACACGACCACTGTAGCAAATCCCAAATGAATCTCACCTCCTCTGACTGACTGGTCTTTCTCCTCTTACCAGCACCATCCAAGTCTTTTTCCTTTTTATCCTGTACAGAGGGAGGAGGGAAACTGCATTATACTAGCCACGCATACCTTGCCATTAGCTTTGCAGCCCATCAAGAGACTCGTCCATACCTTGGGAGAACGCTTCCGAGAGATGGTCTGGCCCAGCTTGCTTAGGAAGGAAATAGGGGATCTGGTGCTGGCTATCAGGACTGCTTTCTCCTCGGCATTCAGGTCCAAAGTGTCTGGAGACAGAAATCAGTAATGTTTAAGCACATCCCTTGAGGACGCTGCAAAATCCCGACCAAAACTACTGTCCCTTGCGAATGGTTGGCAGAACCTCCGAAGGCTCTACAGGTTCACCAGCTATGACAAGCATGTGGTGTCAGGAGGAAACTCCACGGAGGAAATGCATACTTGGGTATGGACGTCGAGCCTTCTTTTTTTCATTCACATAAACAAAGACGACTCTTCTTCTCAAACTACTTCAGTTACCAAAACCTGCACTTTTTTTTTTTCAAAAGTCAGAAGCCGGCTGTGATTGTTAAGTTATAGCAGAGTGCTGAAGGCTCGTTTTTGTGACAAAAATTTCAGGACAGAGAGACAGGGAAGGAGAGAGAAAAGCAGAGCGGGGAAGAACTCAGGGTTCCTGGTTTTAGTGTGTGCAGATGCCATGCTCTGAGCTGCACACAGATGGGGGTGGCACTGAACGGGTATATCAGTGTTAGAGTTGTGGCTTTCTGTTGTAAGAATGGCACAGCTAACCAGGAAAAGCCACAGATGCCTACAAGAATAAATGGGCTGGGAATTACTGGGAGGGTGGTACCACAAACTTTTTGGATTTCAACGTTTCAATAGTAGCAACAGTAATTTTTAAAAGTCATCAATTAATAGTAAATCACTAACATTTATTAAGTACTTCCACTGGCCAAACAGCCTTCTTGGCACATCACAATGTAATTATACATATTATCCTCATTTTACACCCATTCACCCATTTTACAAGATAGGCTGATGGAAAGTGAGAAAGGAAAATTTAGTAACTTGCCTAAGGCTAAGTGGAAGCCTGGGAAACTGTAAATCCAGGTCAGACCCCACAGCCACCACTCTAGCCTCATGCTACACTTATTCCAAGGACAGTTAATGACAATAGGAATATTTTTTATAGCACTATGAGAGCCCGAGGCAGCAACCTGAGGGTCAAGCAAAGATTTTTGGGAAGCGCTAAGAGGTAGGAGTAGAAAGGGAAGCCAGAGAAGGCACAGTGACAGGAGCAAGAAGGGGGACAAGCTGAGTGTGGCTCAGGATCACAGACACTGAGAACCTCACTCCCCAGCACCCAACAATGCAGAAAAGCAAGTGCTGAGAGACGGGAACTGAGAAAAGAGTATGACATGAGCGTCCTCCTGCCTGGGAACGGCTGCAGTAGCGCGGTGTGAAGAGAAGCCAGATTATAATCTGCTATGAAGTTTGGACCATAGCACAAACCACTGCTTCACAAAGGCTGGCTCTGAGAGCACGTGCACCAGAAGCTGGCAGAGTCATGGAAAAAGACTTGGTGCAGGAATGATTTCTGCATATTTACAAATTCACTGAGAAAGATGTGGGGAAGAATGAGGGGTTGAGAACATGCTACCTGAGAAGGGAAAAATCATGAAGCAGAGTTCCAGAGATTTCCCTGACAGCTCACTGGTAAAAACACAGAGTAACTCTGTGTTTGGTGGTACTGCTGTGGGGAGGGAGGGAGGGAGGGAGAGAAGAAGGGAGGGAAGAAGGAAGGAAGGAGCGAACAGCCCAGCAGCCAGGCCATAGCACAGCAGCTCCTCCCATGACTTACCGCTAGAGGGGAGGGAGTCCTTAAACATCTCGTAGAACTGAGTCAGGTACATCACCATGGACAGCTTATCAGGCTCCCCAACGGAGGCCATTTCTTTGCCTGTCATGATGGGAGAAATGCCCAATTCCTTCTCGGCAATGTCAAAGGCCAGTTGGTTATTCTTCTCCACATTTTGCTCATCCAAAGAATCAAAATCTCTGAGAAATAGGACAAGGAAAATGTATGAAGATACGCTGACTGTCCTTACACAGAAAGCACAGTATCACGGAGTCATCGTCCTTTCTGTTTTTAGCTAAAAACTGGGGTGCTGTGCATCAGTGACACCTGAGAGCAAACCTGTTTTATCTCACCTCTTGTCTCTTTCCTTTTACTAAGAAAAAGCAAAGCAACCTCAGGGAGTGATTAAAGGTCTACCTACCAAAGGAAAAAAAAAAAGGAGAAAGTCGAAAAACTACTCTCATTTTTCTGGAAACACAAATTTATTACTATAATGTAAGCTTGAGAATACGGACTGGCTGGGCACAGTGGTTCACACCTGTGATCCCAACACTTTGGAAGGCTGAGGCAGGAGAACTGCTTGAGCCCAAGAGTTCAATTTAAAAACTTAATTCAAATTAAAAATGAGCCAGGCATGGAAGCATGTGCCTATAATCCTGGCTACTTGGGAGGCTGAGGCAGGAGGATCACTTGAGCCTACAAGTTCAAAGTTGCAGTGAGCTACGACTGTGCCACTGCCCTCCATCCTGGGAAATAGGACAAGAACCTGTCTCTAAAAATAAAAATAGAAAATAACAGGAACTATCTTTAATATATCTTGATCCTTGTGTATGGCCCATACATATTAAACTAATGTCAAAACATGATAAATCTCCTATTTGAATCAGACTGCTCCTACAGGCCTGGGACTATCCCCCACCATGACCCTTAGATCCTATCATAAGCTGTTAACATCCGAAATCAGCTCTGGTAAATCTCAGCCTTCTCCTGGAGGGGAAATTTCAAAATCCTCCTCAAAATTTTTTTCCATTACTAAGTTTCCTATTTAGATTTACGACCGTTTTCTATTGGGTTTAAGCCTCTTGCTATTCAGAGCGAAGACTGATCGCATTCTTCTTTACATGACTTCAGATTAACCCAGCAGCCCCTGTTCTGTGTTAACCTAGGACCCCACAGCATTCTTCCATTTCCTCTAACTCCTCCTCACTGTGGGTGCAGCCTCTGATACCACGCCCTTGCTGCTGCTGAACAGTGCTGTGCTGTTCTGTGCTGCTTGGCCTTCCTAGAAGGCGGTCTCTAACCTTCTCCAGGCGCCCCTCCACCCCCATGCTAGGCTCTGTCAACCGCTTCTGCCTGTGCCCTCTGTCTTGCCTTCCCTTTGGAACTGAGCTGAGTCACCTGCCCATCCTCTGCCACTGATCACTATCTTTCCCAAGCTGCTCTTCCTTGCCAGAGATAGCTGGCCCCTTCCTTTGTGGAAGTGAGTAAGCCCTATTTTCACTTACTTGTTATCGACTTCTGGGTGAGCTAAGCGACAGAAGCACCCGAGGTCACTCACCTCCGTCCAAGCACACCAGAAATCCCCATCTGTAACCCACACGTGCAGGGCTGTTTTACCAGCTCTTGCCTCCTGAGTTTAGAACCATCATATAAATAGCAACTATGTCTTGGAGGATTCCTTAAGCAGTCATTAAACAAAACAAACAGAAACCGGGCTCTTAAGTGTACCTAATGATGAAAAGGACAGGAAGCCAAAATAAAGCAACACGCTCTGCTTCTGCATCCTTCTGCTTGGCTTCTGTGGAACAAATGCTGATGGGGGAAGTTGGGTGTGCTGGCCCCGCAGCTGACCTGGGGTCACCCTAGAGTGCTGATTCTGTGGGCAGGTGTGTGGAGAATGGCCAAAGGAGCTGTCACTGGGATAGGTGGGCAGGACAACAGAGCATGTCTGTAAAAAGTGCAGTCTTTAGCACACAGAACACACCGATGAACCATCATAAATCGGTTCAGTCTCATGCTGTTCTGCTTTGTCAGTAGAGACACATTTGCCTTGAGCTGGCCAAATGTTCCGGCCAGGGTTCCCTTGTGACCCACAGGATTTGAGAGATAGCTGGCCAAAATGAAGAGTTCCACCCGGGGCCAATACACAAGAGTTTTCCTTCATGTGAAGCTAACAGGCCTAGGTGGGTGTCAAAACCAGTTTTTGACTTATGAGTGTTGTGATTTTTAAAACTCAGCCACAGGAGTGCAAGAGGCTTATTGGAAAATAAAAATAAAAACCACTCTGTGTTGAGCTACATAACGGATGACATACAGTTTCAAACAGAGCAAAATCAGGCGGGGCACGGTGGCTCACACCTGTAATCCCAGCCCTTCGGGAGGCTAAGGCGGGTGGATCACTTGAGGTTAGGAATCAAGACAAGTCTGGCCAACAGAGTGAAACCCCATCTCTACTAAAACAAAATCAAAAAATTAGCCGGGCCAATGGCGAGCCCTGTAATCCCAGCTACTCGGGAGGCTGAGGCAAGAGAATCTCTTGAACCCAGGCAGCAGAGGTTGCAGTGAGCCGAGGTTGTGCCAGTGTACTCCAGCTTCGGCAACAGATGGAGACTCTGTCTCACAAACAAACAAAAAAACAAATACAGTGAAACCGAAATCACTGCCTTCCACAGGAAGTATCTTACTATGTACCTCATTCTAGGAAAAAGGACAAAACGTTACTTGACAGCAGAGCGGTCTGAGATCCTTGGGAATGTGAAATAAAACACGAAGTTTGATCACGACTTACATCAGGTCGGGGCGGTATCTATGGATGACTGCACAAAGGGCCAAGCCGCTTTTCCAAGACATGGTGAGATCTGTCACGCTTACCCCTGCATAGCCATCTGTCTGCCTCTGGCACCAGCCCAGCAGCTTGCTTGAACGAGCTACAGACTCTAAAACAACAAAGCACACTGTTATCGGAGGTGTGGTCACCGGTAATGCTGACACAGAATCCTCTTGCAGGACACACGTCCACTCTGAAAAATGACTGAGGGAGGGACAAAACAGTCAACACTAGCTTCCATTCATAGAAAACAGGAGGACACAAGGTTATGCAAATGATATCACGATAGTGAATTCTAATAGAAAAGGCGCCAGCAGTTTATACAGAGTCTAAGGTGAACATTCACCCCCCCAGCACCCTGAGGGACCACAGCCTGACAGCCACAGCCCCCTGTACCCTGGCACTGAGGTGAAGGAGTGCCACCTACTGTGGCCAGCCTGGCTCACAGCGGCTCTGAGTTCCCGGACAGCCGCGAGCACCTGGCTGAGGAAGGCTTCCTCCTCCAAAGTAACCCTTGGGAGAGGAGAGGAGAGAAGCCTCCATCCTGTAGGGCGGCAGTTTGAACCCAAAGCACCCAGGCCTTGCCCTTGAACTTTCCAAGGCACTGCACAACTTGCCAAGAGGAGAAGCCCTGCAGGGCTCTGCTGACAGTGCTGGGGCCCCAGACCAGACAGTCCCCGAATGGAGCTTGGCACCTCATGTTATGAATTCTCAACCCTAAAAACTGAACAGGCAAACACACGTGCTAAGATGCTTTACAGTTCACTGAAATGTGTTTCTTTTTTGAGACGGAGTTTTGCTCTCATTGCCCAGGCTGGAGTGCAATAGTGCAATCTTGGCTCACTGCAACCTCCACCTCCCAGTTCAAGTGATTCTCCTGCCTCAGCCTCCAGAGTAGTGGGGATAACAGGCATGCACCACCATGCCCGGCTAATTCTTTGTATTTTTAGTAGAGACAGGGGTTTCACCATGTTAGTCAGGGAGGTTTCGAACTCCTGACCTCAGGTGATCCGCCCACCTTGGCCTCCCAGAGTGCTGTGGTTTCAGGCGCGAGCACCTGTGAAGTATTTATGTCTGAGAAAGTCTATTCCCTTACCAAGGGAAACTGAAGTTTGCACTAAGTCATTTAGTAGTTTGTGAACATGAGATGAAAACTGAGTATCGCGAAAATCCTGTTTCATTTAGGTTTTTCACCATGAAAATGTATTCTACATAACACACAGAACCACTTTCTGGTGCCATCTCTTGGCTCAGAAAAGAGCTTTTACACAGATTTGTCTCCCAGGTCTGTATATCCAACCACGCAATATGTATGGGCAACTCCAATACTGCAGGCGCCAAAGTAAAAACTGAATGAAGATACACTCGCTGCTTTGAAAGAGAAGGCTCCGCTGGAGCAAAAGGCAACCGTTTCCAACTGCCTGCTGGTCCGCACACCCACCCTGGCATCCCAACGGCATGGCGAGGTCATGACGTCCAAACGACTCAAACCTCTCACCCTCTCACCCTCTCTCTGCCTTGCCTACACTGGTGCAGCACCATCTACAACACTGACCTCTTGCTCCACGAGGCGATCAACTGCCCCTGCCCGTTGAATCCACCTCCTCACCATTCTCTCTCGCATAACCGACAACGGCAATGACCGTCCACTGTGTGCCTGGCACTCATGATCACAATGTGAGGGACACACTGCTGCCTCCTCCACTTCACAGACAAGGAAGTTCAAGGCTGTTCAATCACCTCTTCAAGGCCGCATCATTCACTGACAGCAAAGCTTGGCCTGGGACCCGGCTGCACGTGACCCAAAGTCTGAGGTCTTCTCCGCTACCTCCTCCCTTCTTCACCCCCAGCATCAGGGCCAGATCTGGACCTTTGCCACCTTCAGCCTGACGATGGCGATGTCTCTCCACCTGGTCTCCCTGCCTCTGGCACTTCCCTCCTCCATCCCCCTCACGTGTGGCTGACCAGGTGTGCTCACGTCATTCTCTTTCAGAAAAGTCTTCAGGGCCTTTAATACATACAAAATCTGGAGTGACCTTCGCCTGTCACTGAATCCGGGCAGTGCTGCAGAACCCAGCTGAAGTGCCACCACCTCTTCCATAAAGTCTTCCATCAAAACAGCTCTCACACTCTCTCCCTCTCTCCCCTTTGCCCAGTATCCGTGTCTGGTTTCTCTCTATGCGCTCCTAACCCCTCAGGCCAAGGTAATTCTGTGCATTGCAGGATGTTTAGCATGTTCCTGGCCAGAGGTCAGTAGTACCCACTCCCAACCACGATAATCGAAAATGTTCCCCGACACTAACAAGAAACCCCTGGAGGGCAAAACCATCCCTGGTTGAGAGCCACTGCCTGAGACTGTACTTTACGGCTTGGTGAATGAGTTCAGGCCTCTCTGAAGGGTCTGCTGCATTTTAAAAAGCCACCGCCAGAACTCACCATTTCGAGTCAACTTGGGGGTAGTTCGGGAATTCACCAGGCTCTCCATTTCCAGGTGAATATCTTTTGTTTCGCCAGTATCATACAAATGGCGCACCTGGCAGAAATTTACAAAGTCAAACAGAAGGAAAAGCAAATATCAAGTAACAAATTCCTACCTAGGAGCAGAATGGCTGAAAGAAGACTGGGATACAAGCTTGGGCAACGTTCAGACGGAAGTTAGCATGACAACCTTTAAGTCCTTTATAAAATAAGGTGGGCTATAGAAAAACATACATATCAACTGTGGGATCTTGCGCTAAAAATCAGCTACACGGGGTTGGGTGCAGTAGCTCATGCCTATAATCCCTATACTTTGGGAGGCTGAGGCCAGTGGATTGCTTATGGCCAGGAGTTCAAGATCAGTGTGGGAAACATAGGGAGACCTTGTCTCTACAAAATATTTAAAAATAAGCTGGGCATGGTAGTGCACGCCTGTAGTCCCCGCTACATGGGAGGCTGAGGTGGAAGAGTCACTTGAGCTCAGGAAGCCAAGGCTGCAGTGAGCTGAGATTGTGCCACCGTACCCCAGAGAGCCTGGGCAACAAAGTAAGACCTTGTCTCAAAAAAAAACATTAGTTACTTGGCCATGGAGGTCCCTCCAACAGTCTCAGCTGAACTATCAATACCGCCTCTTAACAGCAGGCCCAAAGGTATAAACTTCAAGTCGAAGGTGACTAGAAGATTACACTGAAGGCTGGGCATGGTGGCTCACGCCTGTAATCCCAGCACTCTGGGAGGCCAAGGTGGGCAGATCACGAGGTCAGGAGTTCAAGACCAGCCTGGACAACATAGTGAAACCCCGTCTCTAGTGAAAATACAAAAAATTAGCCGGGCATGGTGGCACATGCCTGTAATCCCAGCTACTCAGGAGGTTGAGACAGGAGAATCTCTTGAACCTGGAAGGTGGAGGCTGCGGCGAGCTGAGATCACACCACTGTACTCCAGCCAGGGCAGCAGAGCAAGACTCCATCTCAAAAAAAAAAAAAAAAAATACACTAGAAGAAGTTCTTTCAAGTGAATGATATCTCTTTTGCCCTTGCAATGATCCTATGAGTAGCAGGGATTCTTCTTCCTGTTTTTCAGGTAAAGAAATTGAGGTTCAGAGAAAGCAAGTCACAGGTGATCAGAAGCTCCCTCTCCTCACTATGGGGCAAGTGCTCTTCCCTACAGTAAGAATCTGAATTAGGAAACGCGGCATAAAATCCTGGGCCTACCATTTTTATCATGTTTGCTCTTCTGTAAGTCATTCAACAACTCTATGGCCTAGCTCTCAATCTGTTGATGGAAAATAATATTTGCTTCCACCAATTCAGAGAGACATCTACCTAAATTACTAAGTAAGTATTCTTGTATGTGTGGTATTAAAAGCTGCATGCTTTTCAACAGATCAGAGTTCTGATCAGTTCTGCAGATGGGCCCGGATGTAAAGACTGACAAGAAGGGTCTCACCTGGCTTGGCCGGAGGAAGTTGATGTTGATATTGGGATACCGAGTGACTGGGTCGATACTATATTGGCTGAAGTTCTTACTCACATTTTCAGGGGTAGTTTGAGGCAGCAACCTATAAATACTCTCCCTGCAGTAATACAACAATACACTCAGAGCCGTGACCAGCACCGTGAACATCTCCCTCCCTTTTCCTGGTGGTTCTGACAGTCCAGTAGTCACCTGACATGGCTGACAAATCCTCATCTTTGACCAGTCTTCTCGAGCCCCACATCAGCCCGTGCTTCCCAGACCCACTCCCAGTGATTCCACGGGTAGGAGCCCAGGAGAGCCAGCAGGCCTGACACCGTCAGCGCTCACGGACACCACCTCCCAACTCTAAAGGCCACACGTTCACTCTTTTATTTTTTCAAGCAGGCCAATATTTACTTCAATTAAAAAACATCAATAAAGAAATGAACTGCCACCATATTTAGTCAGAATGCCTTAATAACAGACAGAATAAAATGATATCAACTCCCAATTTCATCCAGGCAATCCTGTCTCTCTGATTCCTCTGGTCAGGTATTAGTTCTTTATCAGAAAGCAAATCCTAGGATTTTTATTACATTTGCAAAAATCTGCTTCAAAATATCCCATTTAGGGGTTTGAGAAACATTTATAAGCAGTTTGGTATTTTCTTCTGACTTCAAAGCTACTTTTAAATTCTTCTCTCAATAAGAAATTTAACTTCAAAGGCGTAAGAGAAGACTTACTCCAGGACACTCATCTTTAGGTTTCCACGATTTTATGAAATCCTATCTCGCCTTTTCTCTTTTCAACACGAAAACATCTTTAATTAAGAAAGCAGAGAGAGAAGAAGGAAGAATGTGCACTCTGCCTAAAGAGTAAACCCTCCTTCCTCAGTTTTCTCCTGAAAGGAACCCCGGGTTGCTTCCCATTACCTCTCCGCCAGCACTTCCAAAGGGCTTGTTCCTAGAGACCAACTTCGGACCATCCAGGCAGAATCCATAGCAGCTAAAAAGCCCCGGGCTATTCCTGTTCCCATGGGCCAGAAAGGCTGTAAATAAGACATAAAACAAAGAATTAAAAAAGTAAACACCTTTCAAAACAGGAAAAATAAACTAAGGAACAAAGATTTGCTGTTAACAGCAGTATTTGGCAACTGCTCCAGTAACAAACTGTTCTGCTTCCCAGATTGGTAGGGAGCAAGTCAAGAAAGCTGCAGAATTCCCACTCATACTTCATAGGCCTGGGCTCCCAGAAGCCTGTAGCCCTCCCACCTTCCCGGTGTGACTCCGGCGGGGAGTTTACCTGTACTGTACAATGCTGTAGATGCTCATTCCAAGACCCAGGATGCTCAGATTCACTCCTAATTATTCCTGCCCCCACCACAGAACGCTGCCATACTTAGCACTCACCTCTAGGAGACTGTCCCCGACCAGAGCCACTAGTAACTGGTGTCCGTTCTGCTCCCGGACCAAGGCAGCGTTCTCGGAGGCATACATACAAGTGAAGTCAAACATGGCCACATCGGGCTGCCCATAGTGATTGATGGCAAAATCCAGAGAGGGCAGCTGCTGCTGGGTGGAGAAGTCTGCCGCCTCCCTGGCATAGCTGAGCAGAGCCTCCTGGTCCACGTTCTCCCGGGAAAGCAGGAGCTCTGTGTCGGCGTAGTCCTGTCTCCAGAGAAAGAGGGTGAGGATGGAGACGCCCTGGCACTTGGCCAGAACCATGCTTCTGGGGTCACAGACTCTCCTTCCCCCTAGTGACTCCACATTCCACAACCAAAGCTTTTATACCATTAAAAGGCAGTGGATGGCGGGGAGCAGCCAGGCACAATGGCTCACACCTGTCATCCCAGCACTTTGGGAGGCTGAGGCAGGTAGATCACTAGAGGACAGCAGTTCGAGAACAGCCTGGCCAACGTGGTAAAACCCCATCTTTATTAAAAATACAAAAATTAGCCAGGTATGGTGGCACGTGCCTGTAATCCCAGCTACTCAGGAAGCTGAGGCAAGATAATTGCCTGAGCACGGGAGGCGGAGGTTGCAGTGAGCTAAGATCGTGCCACTGGACTCCAGCCTAGGTGACAAAGTGAGACTCTGTTACAAAAAAAAAAGAGGGGTTGATTATTCCCAAGTAACACAGGCCTTGCTATCTAAACAAACAGTGGTGGCTTTTCCATTTGCTTGGAGCAGTAACTGCTCCTTTGATCTTATCCAATTTGCCTTAGGGTTGTTGAATGTCACATAAAATAAGTTACGTGACAGTACTTTGTGAGCTGAAACGGCATTTTGGAGTTTTTTTTTAATCAGGAATCATTATCCTCTGGGTAGTAAATGGCTCTTGTCAAACGGGTCCACATGAACACTCAGCCTTGCATAACTCATGACACCTGAGGGAAGAACCCAAAAATGCTTGAGTGCCGAAAAGACAGGGAGGTGGGAGCAACAGCAGCCCAGGAGGCTGGGAGGGAATGCACTGAAAACGGAACAGGGGTTTTCACAATAGTACATAAGGCTCTGAGAGCCTCCACAGAAACCCACAAAGAAGAACACAGGACCGAAAAGCTCCTTTTCTGTTTTAGAGGTTCCTGGCACACTGAGTCAAGTCTCGACTCTCCGAAAGTGGGGCCTTTGGTTTCTAAGAGGCCCTGATGGTCCTTTCAGCTACCACTACAAGATGTTAAACCAAACACAAATACTCAGGTTGGTCCTAGAAATACTGTTTGTTCAACCCTGAGAAAGCAGCCACATGGGTCTAGTGTTTAACAGCACACACTGAAGGTAAGGCACCTGCCCTCTAGGAAAAGTAAACCAGGTCTTGCGTTCTAGACTGCGCCTATCTAATGTTGACCGATAACCACAGCTGGGCCTAGGGGACAGATTCAGGTCTTCACCTAGTCCCAAGGCATGCAAACTGCTTCACTGGCTATTTCTTACTGGTAGCAATCTAACCCCGACGTAGTTCCAGATAACCAGTAAAGCACTTTTAGAAAGCATCTATCCAAATACGTCTTGCTTATGCTTTTGGGAGAGCGGGACTGCATCAACGGCTTTGTTCTGTTTCTCCCTGCAGGCACACAGGATGGTTGTGCTGAGAAACACATGGGAGGGTCCTGGGTACAAAGTGGGGGCTCTGCGCCGCAGGCACATGCTCGGCAGCTCACTCCTCTCTGCTGTCAGATGAGTAGTACTGCAGCTCAGACTAAAGTGACTGCATTCGCATCACCCTGCAAAGACCAAGGACTCCCTGAAATTCAGCTGCGAGTCTCTTGCGGGAACTGCACGGGCCTGAATCAGCACAACTAGTGCCTCTGCTTCTGTTCCTCTCATTGCATGGGGACAGTGATTCTCATGTTGAGACCAGTGACACCAAGTAAGACGTAAAAAACTCTCCTTCAGGGACCATTCACCCAGTGTTTTTCTAACTTCACATTTCAAACCATTATTTCAGGGCATGCCATGCAGTCACCTAGAAACAGGCTGAGCTGGACCTGGCTAGGATGGATGCTCACACCTGTTCTGTGGTCATAAGGAGGCCTAAGTGTAGCCTGATCCTGTCAGTACTGCCTGGACCTCTGAAAACTCTATGTGCGGTGACACCAGAACCCTCATCAGGCTCCATAAACACCAATTACTGCTTCTCGGTCATACTCCCTTCCCTCTACCACTCCCCCTTCCAAAAGATAACTCTTTAACCAACCAATAATCAGTCATATACGGAATTCACAATAACCACAAACCAAATCACCTAAAATTGAACTGAATTTATGCATGAAACACTGTCTGAAACTTGCTTTGCGAGGACCCAACGGTGACGGAGGAGTGCGCTGGAATATTACTCACAGAACACTGGCCATGTGTGGAGAACAGTTGAAGCTGGACAGTGGCCGCGTGAGGGTTCATCACACTACTCTCCACCCACCTTTGTTTACATCTGAAATTAGCTATAAGAGTTGTTCACGCTAAACTGGACAGCATCAGGGGTTACCAGAAGATGCATTCAGTGCTCATTTTCATTCCCTTGCAGGAAGAACCCATCAGACAATCAATTCTTTCTTTTGGTGATATCAACCACTTCAGTAAGAAAGAGTTTTGAAGGAAATCCGTGGCTTACATGCAGTATCACTCCTTTGTCCAGTAAACTCTGCTTTTTGGCTGTCATAACGAAATAGTGTGTGTCGTCTTTGTAGTAAACGATGTTCTCCAAGTCAATACCTGGGGCCAGAAGACAAACGTGTGCATGTAAGAGTTTGCTGAGATGAAGGTGCATCAGGGCAGCCTGAAAGGGCAGATAACAGCCGTGAGACTCCAGGCAGGGAAAGGTGTCTAAGCCCAGACTCTCACTTCCTGCATCATCAGTTCATGGAAATACAGGGAGCTTTGTTTCTCTGTGTTCACTCAACACCCCAAAGGAACTTAAGAACAATGACTGATAGTAAACACAACTGTAGGGATACGGGGAAAAAAAAAACAAAACCAAAACCGAAAAAAAAAAAAAAAAGAGGCTAACCTCTAAAGAGGGCTTGGATTAGTTATCAGGTTAGGCCTCTCAGGACAGCCGTCAAGGAAGCAGGAGGAATCTCCGAAGTTCTTAAGAATGGGATAGACAACTTGACGCCTGGAAGCAGAGTGAACTACTGACTTTCTAACTCAATTATCTAAAAAATAGATGTAATAATGGAAAGAAATCTAGGAAACAAGAGAATGAAGGCATATTTAGCAAAATATCTAAGTTGAGCTATTCAAAACCTATCATACAACAATCTCACTGCTATATAACACATGGTTTGCCTTCAAGCCTGGGCTGGAACTCAGGAAGAAGCCTACATACTTAAAGGCCTAAAGTCAGCTTCCCAACCAAACCAGGGAGCCACTGGCCAGCAGTTACACCAAACACCAAGACTAAGCATCACAACACAGGGCAGGCATTGGGAGGCAGAACGAACGCTTTAAAACAAATAAAAACAAAACCCAGGTTGGGTGCAGTGGCTCATGCCTGTTAATCCCAGCACTTTGGGAGGCTGAGGCGAGTGGAGCCAGGAGTTTGGGAGCAGCCTGGGCAACATGGCGAAACTCTGTCTCTACAAAAAATACTAAAAATTAAAAGGGCATGGTGGCGCCCACCTATAGTCCCAGCTACTTAGGAGGCTGAGATGGGAGGACTGCTTGAGCCCAGGAGTTCGAGGCTGCAGTGAGCCAAGATCGCGCCACTGAACTCCAGCCTGTGCAACAGAGTGAGACCCTGTCTCAAACAATAAACAAAACCCAGAGCAGCCCCGTCGCTGCAGAGAGGTTAAGAATACAAGAGAAGACACGTTCTGCAGGAAGCATTACACCAGGAACAAGGGACAGGAGTGAAGACAGCGGAGGGGCAGACAGTGCAGGAGTGACACCCACGGCCACCCTCCCCACCAAACCCCCAAGAAAAAGTCACCAGGGCCATTTAAACCCTTATCCTAGGGCTCTGGAGACATCAACACAAACCTGTGGCTTCCCTCAGTTCCTGGAAGAATTTCTGGTTGAATATAAAAGCCACACCACTGATTTCTTCCACTTTGGCCTCTGCTGTTGTATTTCGGTTGATAAAATTTGCTGTGATGGCAATGGCCAGTTTGCCACGGAATTCTTTCCGACGAAACCCTGGAGGGAAAGAAATTTTCAGAGGTGATAATCGCTGGCTAGAGAAGTAAGATCACTTCAAATCAAAGTGGGGGTGCTGATAAAGACATCAGGGAAAGCCAGGGATGAGAACTGATGGTAAAGTTAGGGCAGCTTTTCTGCAGATGAAAGTAAGGTATTTACCGACCCAAGAATATGAAAGTTCAGGAAAGAAGTCAAAGTTGACATTAACAAACCACTAACAAACAATCTGAAATCTGATGCACCAGAGTATCACTCAGTACTAGGGATTCCTCTTAAACAAAAGGGGTGTGCTTGTGTGTGTGTGTGTGTGTGTGTGTGTAGCACCTGCTTATTAATATGTAGATTAAGCCCCACGAATGCCAACCACTCAAAGTATGGCTCGTCTCCTCGTGCCCCAGCAGGAGTGCCCTGTAAGCAGCAGCCCGGGCCAGGTGAGGTGGCTCACGCCTGTGATTGCAACACTTTGAGAGGCCAAGGCAAGCAGACTGCTTCAGCCAAGGAGCTCAAGACCAGCCTAGGCAACATGGAGAAAGCCCAATCTCTACAAAAAATACAAAAATTAGCTGGGTATGGTGGCATATGCCTGTAGTCCCAGCCACTCAGGAGGCTACGATGGGAGGATCACTTGAGCCCAGGGAGATCAAGGCTGTAAGTGAGCATTATCATGCCACTGCGCTCCAGCCTGAACAACAGAACAAGATCCTTCTCAAAAATAAAAATAAAATAAGCCGGGCATAGTGGCTCACGCCTGTAATCCCAGCACTTTGGGAGGCTGAGGCAGGTGGATCACGAGGTCAAGAGATTGAGACCATCCTGGTCAACATGGTGAAACCCTATCTCTACTAAAAATACAAAAAATTAGCTGGGCATGGTGGCGTGTGCCTCTAATCCCAGCTACTCAGGAAGCTGAGGCAGGAGAATTGCCTGAACCCAGGATGTGGAGGTTGCGGTGAGCCAAGGTCGCGCCATTGCACTCCAGCCTGGGTAACAAGAGTGAAACTCCGTCTCAATATAAAATAAAATATAAAATAAAATCAGCAGCCCAGGTGCTGGCTGCCTAGAGGAAGATGGGGCCTGCCATTCCATCAGGGCGGGAAGCACTCAAAAAAGGAGACGCTGGTCACACACAGTCTCACCCCAGGGGTAGGATAGCATCAGCTTTCCCTCTGCTATGAGCCAGGCAGAGGAGCACAGACCAATACCTTCCAAGGTGTTCCTCCGACCATCCCCACCAATGATCACTTCAAATTCATACTCTGATACAGGATGAGTTTTGGGGTGCACCAGTGCCCGCCAGCCTATTCCTGTGGACCAAAACCAAATAAATGGAGGTCACCACCCAGACCACATTCACAGCCAGGACTGTGATCCCAGTCTCTAGATACCCAGTCACGTGGACTGCACAAAACCCTGGGCCAAAAACACTACATGTAGAAACAGTGGGGACAGAGGCCAGGTGTAGAGACTCATGCCTGTAATCCCAGCACTTTGGGAGGCAGAGGCTGGCGGATTACTTGACACCAGGAGTTATGAGAGCCCAGCCTGGCTAGCATGGTAAAACCCTGTCTCTACTAAAAATACAAAAATTAGCCTGGCACGGTGAAACATGCCTGTAATCCCAGCTACTCTGGAGACCGAGGCAGGAGAATTGCTCAGAGGTCACAGTGAACCGAGTTTGAGCCACTGCACTCCAGGCTGGGCGACAGAGTGAGACTCTCATCCAAAAAAGAAAAAGCGGTGGGGATGAACGAACCACAGAAGGAAAGAAGCCTTGCAGAGGGCCCACGAGGCCCTTCCCACCACATGTGCGCCTATGACCTCTAAGGCTGCAGACCCAGTCCCCAACAGCCCAGCCTGCGAGGACCTTTGATTTGCTCCCCCAATCTCATCTTCCTCACCCATCAAAACCCTCTCACACCTTCCTCACTCCTCCAGTCTGACTTACGTTCATTCTCCTGGTCCTCAGGAGGCTGGATAAGTCCTTGGAATTCCACATTGACGTGGATTTCAATGCCTAGGATCAAGGCTACTTTCAAAAGTATCAGCTGGAGCTGACGGATACCTGGGAGAATACAGAGATGACATTGGTGGGAACACACAGAGAAGGCAGTGCCCATCTCTGTCACAGCTCAGGCTCCCACCCCGCCACTTATGCACCCTTGGTTCAGATTCCCAAAGCCCACTGTAACAGGAGACGTTTCCAAAGCCATGCTCTGTAACTTCTTACTTGCTTTCTTAAAGGTAAATATAACCCAGTGGAAGAGAGGTTCTATAGCAACGTGCAGGCCACTGCAACCTCTTGGGTTCAGTATTCTAAACAATCAAAAGCCTGGAGACAACATGGGGTTGTGGCGGACAGGAGACCCCTTTCCATCTTCCCAATTCAGGGCCGCCATATTGGCAGCATCTCCGGTCCTGCTGGATTAGGGGCAGATGCGTACCTGCAGGGTGCAGCCCGCAGTCAGATGCAGAGCTGCTGCACCACCTCCCCGCCTGTGGGCATCTCTCTTTCAGTCCATTCCCTGGTTGATGAGCACACATTCTTATAATGTAAGGAAGGGAAATTGCAATGCAACCAGATTCTCTTACCATTCCCCTGCAACTCCTGGTCTACAGCTGTGGAAACTGAGGCCGGAATGACTGACAATCTTGCTCACTTTCACAGTGAGACCAAGTGATTTACTTGATGCCCATGAGCACCTGCAGGCACCAGACATGGCGTGGACTAAAGGTGCAGCGATAAAGATCTAGGCCCTGGTAGAAGACCCTTTCACCCCCAAGATGAATCTTGCCACAAATAAGGCAGGCAGATCCACTGAGTTAATGACCCCTGGTCCTCTCTTAAGACCAAACTTACCCGGCGCCTGTGACTGATCTGCCAGGAGCAATGCAAATCTTCCTCAAGCCATCTTGTTCTCCCCAGTTTACCATAACCACCACCCTTCTGAGTCCCACTCCCAAAGATTTGTTAAACTCTGCGCTAGCACAGAATTTTTGCAGACAACTGTGGGTTCCAAGATGCTTCACAAACTATAGCCAACAGATGGGCAGCACACTTCCTCTGCCAGTGGAATGTGGTCACTGCCAGCCAGCATCTGATAAATTGGCACAGCTGCTGCAAAGAGCAAAAGGTTCCATGACTGAATGTGTTTACAGGACACATCTGGAGAAGCTCAGAACAAAGGCTCCTTGACAAAGCTTTCCTGAAAGCATTAATGATAATCAATGAAAAGCCTTCAGTTTCATAATGCACACTGTCTGTTCCGAATTGCTTTTCTGGTGGGCCACTTACAGTGAAACACCACTGATTGTATTAACTTGTATTTATACCCCGTAGGATCTCAGAAAAGCACAGGCCCAGGCTGAGCTTGGAGGTGACAAAAGTACAGCAAGAGCGTGCAGACTGCACCAGAACCACCTAACCAGAGTTATGCCATGATTTCCCTGCCATTAATGGCCAGGCCACGGCTCTGCTGCTTCTGCAAGTGTGACTTCCCCCAGGACTGTGTCCCCACAGCACTCTGTTCTTAGAGTAGCAGAGCATGTATCAGGTCACAGCACAGACAGTCACATGCCTATGTACTTCTGCCACTGCGAGAGGAACCACCAGAGGGTCCGGGCCCAAACTGTCATTGTTTCCCCAGTGCCCATCCCACAAACTGCAAGAGCTCAGGAAGAGTCTAAGACCTAACTTAGAAATCCTCCAGCTAAACTCCACGTCGCACAGCTTATCAATACACTCACAGTGAAGAGTCCTAAACTACAGGACCGCAGCATAGCAGGTGTTTTTACTTCAAGGTGAGTCCACTTACTACAAGAAAGATGGGAATGAGATTAGAAGAAACTGGGTGGTGTTTGAATTCCTCAGCGAATCCAGCTGTATTTCTACTGAACAAGTGTGTGAGGGGTAGGGTGGAATGCTCCAGGAGAGCTAGTTTTACTTACTGATGTGGTCGATGGCTCCGGCACAGAACTTGCCATAGAACTTCTTGGCACCCAGACCTCGAAGATCATGTATGGTGAATGGCCAGAGATGTAAGACGTTGTTGCGGGAGAAGGCGTCTCGTTTCTCAATAACAACCACCTTGGCCCCCAGTAAGGATAAGTCGATGGCTGTGCGGAGACCACAGGGGCCAGCCCCAATGATGAGACACTGAAAAACACAGCTGCTTTCAGGGCAGGCAGCACTTTCAAGAAACAATTCTAGAGAAGTCTCATGATTGTATAATCATCACTCCCTAAAGCTCCCAAAACAGGGCTATTCTCCCCACTCCCAAGAAACCTTCACACCTGCATAGGTCACGGCAGAGCACCTGCCACGGCTTAGGAGAAGAGCTAACGATCACAATGGAGAAGACGGAACCGGCAGTGCTAGAGACAAGCCCGGCATATGGCTGGAAGGCCCTTGACCTACAGCATATTTAACTGCATCATCTCAACAAATGGTATGAAAATCACATACAATCTTACATCAACAGGAGAGGACCTTTTGGAAGGTTTCTAGATCAAGCAGATTTCTGTCCAAAGAGATACAGAGTACTACACACACAAGCCAGGCAATCTCAAGCCTCCTGGAATGAGTCTACCACACATGCGATTCCCAGGAAGCAATTTTCAAGAGCTGAAGTTTTATGTGCTGAAGAGTTCCAAAATCCCTGTCTAGACTCAAAATCCAGGGACATGATCGTGAAAATACACACTCCAGAGAAGTACTCAGCAGGAGACTGGACACATATCTTAAACTGTTTGCTCTGAGTGTGCAGAGGGAGGACGTGCAATGCTTTCGGCTTTGTTTTGTTCTTAGTAGAGTCCAGTACTCACTCATGAAAGTCATGCCTTCACAGTTCTTGAATTTTGCTGATGACTATCTACCCAAATGCAAATCCACTGGGGGTGGGGCTCTAGGTATTCCCTGTTGCACAAATTAGAGCTCGTGAAAGAACATAACACAGCCATGAAGTCATCTGCAAATCTGTGTTCCGGCTAGCTTGTTCCAAACTTCTCACATTAGGTGTTTCTCTAAGGAGGGAAGCAGGAAATGTATCTCTCCACATCAGCTTCCTCGCACCTACCCCGGCAAAGGCAAGTGCGTACCTCAGGTCTCTGCCTAGGCCTACCTGCTTCGTGGAAACCCTATTTCTCCACATGGTAAAGAAAGCAACAGAAATACTTTGGTTCACAAAGTCCTTGCTTATGAATCAAAACAGACCTTTGGAACATGGATGGGAAGCGGTTTGAAGCTTGTGGCAAATCCTAAGTTGGCAAATACCAGCTACTGAGCACGGAATGATGAGTCTGGAAAGTGAACACGCCAAGAAACCCGAAGCTGAGTTCAGACAGGACACCACCAGGGCTTGGATGCGCCCTGCTCGGATCTCGGACCCGCAGCCTCTGAAACATGCAAGCTCAAAAGAGAGCCTCAGCAAAACAAAAAGTTCCCGTGCCACCTGACTTTGGTCATTCTTCAATACTTGAAACTTTGAATGTTCAATACGTAAATACATGAAATACACTTAGAACAGGGTCTGGGCCACGGGAGTCAAACAAAATAAGAGATCCACAAAGTTTCAACAGGGTCAAAGCCTGACTTCCCATGCTAGTTGCGGCTACACTGCGCCTGGTTCTCACTCAGCCTACCTCTACCAATTCTCCTCTTTAGCACCTGGGTGAATCCTCACCAGTGACCCCAGGGCCCAATAGGAGCCAAAGCTTACCTTGGTGTTAGTACATGCTTTTCCCTTTTTGTAGTCTTTGTGACTGCCCCGTTTGTCCAACTTTGCCCAAAGGGCTTTGGCTTTCCAGTAGTTCAGCTTGGACTTGAGCTTGTGGTAGAAGGAACGGTAGTCCTTTGGCTTCAGTTCCAGATGGTCACAGAGCTCCTGGAAGGCCTTAAGGGTTCCCTTACAAGTGGTGGCCTGGACAAACCGGTCAAAGAGGACATGAGCTGGGTTCATGGTCTCATGCTTCCTCTCCTCCATGCTGCCCACTCTCAGCACTCCCCACAGCAGGCAGTGGGATGGCTGTGGGTCCACCTGACACTGTCACGTTAATCTGACAAAAAGAAAGAAAAAAGATGATCAGCATTTCTTTGTCTACAAACATTCTCCAGGAGACATACTCCTCTTCCAAGCAGAGTTCCCAAGTGTCACAGTCAACCATCCACAAGTGTGGACTGCACACCTACAATCCTCCAGGCACTACGAGGCACTGGGGCTGGAAAGGTGAGTAAGCTGTTCTTGCTCTCAGGGATCTGACGGTCTAAGAGACAAGGCAGCCACAGACACAGAACGTCCTGATGGACCGTACCAAGTGCCACTGCGGAGGGACATGAGGGACTTGGGAAACAGAGAAAGAGGATTTAAGTCACTTTTGGCGGTGAGTGGAGGTCCCCACTGAAGACGAGCCTCTGAAGGGTGGCAGCTGAGTCTCTCAGCATAAATGTTACTCAGGCAGGCAAGAGGTGTAGGACATGGGAAAGTGACACAGGCAGGCCTGAGTGACTCACACGGATCAAAGAGGCAAGGATGACTCCCAGGTTTCCAGCTTAGGCTCCGGATTAAACGGAGACATCAGGCCAATGGATTAAAAATAGAAGCACTCCTCGGTGCCAGTGGAGCAGCGAGCCCCCTTCCCCACCTGTGTGTGTGAGCTCCGAGTGGAGGTGTTCAGTGGGCAGCCGGGCGTGAATATGAAGTTCAGGGAGATGCAGATTTGGGAGTCACCGGCACATGGGCAGTAGCTAAGCCTACAAAGGCAGGAAGATCACACAAGGAGCGTGCATGGGGAGAGGCGCCGCAGGCTCTGGAGGAGGTCCAGGAGGCCCTACCTACGACAGGCTAGCAGAGAAAGAGGAGCCCTCTCAAAAGCTGAGGAACAGTAGGGAGAGGCCTGCAGAGAACCAAGCAGCAGCGTCACAGAAGTCTAAGGAGCAGAAAGTTCAGGAGCATCAGAGTCAGCAGGGATGAAGAGAACTGAGCCCTGCCATCGAGTCAGGTACAGGGTGGGGAGACTCCATAGTCATTCCGTTTCACCCAGAATCAAACTGCACCGCAGTAATGACGATATCTATGCTTTCCACCTATGGAAATGTCCGCACACCTGCATCCAGTGAGTCTGCTGGACAGAGGCTGGGAGGTGGGGGATGGTGTCACGTGCACTACTGCACCCACGGCTCCTGTGAGTCTGCGGAATCGTTTTTACACCCCATCTGATGAATCCTTACCACTGGAATTGTATTAGGAGGTGGGAGGCAAAAGGACAAAGGACAAAACTGGAGTGCACAGAGTGGGTCAGGGTGACGAGAAGAGTGGCCACAGGGCTGAGCCCACACGGCCGGACCCCGGCTGCACAACCCCGCTGCACAACCGTGGGTAAGCACTGCCGCACAGATCCTCGGTTTCCCTGTGTGTAAGACAAGAAGGCAGAGGTTGCAGTGAGCTGAGATCATGTCACTGCACTCCAGCCTGGGCAACAGAGTGAGACCCTGTCTCAAAACTAAACAACACTACACTGTTAACATACATAGCTTCTCCCAGTAACCACATGGCTAAGAGTCCAGCAAGACATGGAGTTAACAGGAATTAAACATTCAGTTTCCCAGAAAAAATAAAGGTTTTATTCCAGGTAGCAGCAAGAGAAACACTTTATAGATCCTAAAAAGAACCTACTGTTTTTCTTATAAGCCAAAGCTTATCTTAGAAATGTTAGAAAGTCAAAAGATGGCCTGTAGGGGGCCAGGTGCAGTGGCTCACACCTGTAATCCTAGCACTTTGGGAGGCCGAGGCGGGTGGATCACGAGGTGAGGAGATGGAGACCATCCTGGCCAACATGGTAAAACCACATCTCTACTACAAATACAAAAAATTAGCTGGGTGTGGTGGCATGTGCCTGTAGTCCCAGCTACTCAGGAGGCTGAGGGAGGACAATCACTTGAACCCGGGAGGCAGAGGCCGCAGTGAGCCTAGACGGCACCACTGCACTCCAGCCTGGGCAACAGAGAGGCTCCATCTCAGAAAAAGAGAAAAGGTGGCTTGTAGGGCAGGGAAGAGCAGATGTGCTTATGCAAAGGCAGGAGAAACGGTGACAGCTGACAACTCATGACTAGAAACAAAGGCTCCAGAGCATTTTCCGCATCGGGCCCCTCCGCCCCTGCCCTCTCTGGGGACTTCTGAGGCCTCACTCGCTCTTCGACAAGCAACAGCACTGTGCAGCCCAACCCTATGCCCTGCCTGCATTCACAGTGAACCTCAACTCCACCAGTCACAGTGTTTGCTGAGCTTTGCATACACTGGGTCTGACCACGTCTACTTCATGTCAAAGAAGAAAACGGCTTTTCTTTGTTCCTAAATAGCAGCCACTTTCAACTCCTCGCCAGGATTCAGAGCAGTCAGAACCACGACGTTCTCGCTGAAGCCAATCCATTAAAGGTCCTGCAACACGTAATTCTAAAATCCTTCCCGTCATAATGCCTGCCTTGGTTCACACGCCTCCTCAAAGAGTCTTGGGCACTTATGTCCCAAGAACAGTTCTTCCATGTGAGCTAACATCCCCTTGGTTGGTTGCAACCCGCTTGGTTGGAAATAATTCGCTTCCAAAGAGCTGCTAATCACCACAGAGGATTTCCAAATGAAATCCCACTACATAGAAATACCTTCACTAAAACAGTCCTTTTGCTGGTAAAAAATACTTTCAAATTAATAGGTGTCACCCACAGCTCCCAGAGGGCTGCAGAGCTAACCAGCAGGCAAGTATTAAGTGCCCGGCCGAACAGATTTCAACCTGCAGGGCACTGGTGACAACAGACGAACAGAGGCAGGCTGGCTCCTGCGACAATGCGGCCAGCACCCAAGGTAAGATGACACAAGGTGAATTCCCCTGGGCTGCCTCACTTTTCCTGCTTTGCAGCTGAATGACTGCAGCCTGGACTCCTCCAGAATGCGACAGCATTGCTCTGTGGCTCTGCTGGGCTGGGCCTGTCTCGCTCTGCAAGGGGCTTACCCAGCATTCTCACTGGCTCTGACGACAGCCGGGAAGCGCGGGGAGCAGGGCTATTCCTGTTACCGCCCCCCATTTCCCTCATTCCTGAAGGTCACAGCCAGATCATGCTCCTCCTGGCCTGTCCTGTACCACCCTGTATACGGTTCATAATCACAGGAACCTGGAGACCAGAAAACCTGGCAGGAAGGTGCCAGAAATCCCAGAAACTGAAAAGCCAAGGTGTGCAAGGAAGGGGTAGAGGAAGTGAGGAGCCGGGTTGGGGGGTTGGGGGAGGAAGAGGAGGTGATGCCAGGTCTCCAGGCATCTCTCCGCCAGCTGGCTCCAGCCTGCCTGTTTTGTCCGTGGCAGCTGACTGCTGACTCAGAAGCCCTGCAGGGGCCTTGGCTGTGGAGGATGGCGCTGCAGAGATAAGCACACGCAGGGCACGGTTATGTTGCTATTTACAACAGGCGAAGGTTGTCACTGAACTTCTGGCTGTCTATGAGAACACTCAATCTCTAGCTCTTAGAAAAGGTAGCTGGATGTTTGTGGAGGAGGAAAAAGGAGAATCATCTTTAAAAACAGAAAAAGAAAAGAGAAACAAAACAACAAAATAAGAATTATATCTCAAAAGTATGGCACCAGAGTGAAGCTTCGTTTTCTCCCTAGCTACTGCACCACGAGCATACCAGCAAACCTGCAAATCTCTGAATCCTACACAGCAATCAACGAACTGCACCTTCCCCTAGCCCATTCAGTCAGAGGTATGTCTCATCTAAATAGATCTTGAAAGTGGGTAGAGAGCCAGGTGTGGTGGCTCATACCTGTAAACCCAGCACTTTAGCAGGCCAAGGCAGGAGGAGTTCAAGACGAGCCTGGGCAACAGAGTGAGATCCCATCTCTTCAAAAAATAAAAAACAAAAAACTTAGCTGTGTGTGGTGGCATGTGCCTGTGGTCCCGACGACATGGGAGGCTGAGGCTACAGTGAGCCATGATCATGCCACTGCACTCCAGCCTGGGAGACAGAGCAAGATCCTGTCTCAAAAACCAAAAAAAGGAAAAGGTAGGTGGAGAGAAACACTTGTTTTGGAATGTCATCAGGCAGTAGTTTACATGAAAAATGCACTATGGATTACTGAGCCAATTCCCTTATATTTTCCCTCAGAAGCCAGGACTCAAATAGCCAACATGCCTCAGGCTCCTGAACCGTCTTCCTGCAACATGGGCAACTAGCACCCTTTGTTGAAAAGCCTGTCCTTCTGGCACTGAGTAGTCTTGGTATCCTTGTCAAAAATCATCTGACCATAAGTGAGGCGTGGGAGGCCGAGGCAGGAAAATTGTCTGATTCTCCCAGGACCTTGAATCTGGCCTGAGTTACACAGCAAGACCCCGTCTCTTTTTGCTTTTCCTTTTTTAAAATTTTCTCTGATAACATCTGAGAATTATAAGCTTAAGACCCCATATCTTAAAAAAAAAATCATTTGACCATACATATTAGGGTGTGTTTCTGGGCCCTCTATTGTAGTCCATCGGTTTGTGTATCTGTCTATGCCAGTACCACACTGTTTTGATTAGTACAGCTTTATAGTAAGTTTTGAAATCAGGAAGCATGAGTCCTCCTGGTCTCCTTTATAAGGACTGTTTTGGCTATTCAGGGTCCCTTGAGATTCCATGTAAATTTTAGGATGGGTTTTTCTATTTCTGTAAAAAAGAAAACTGAGATTTTGATAGGGATTACATTGACTATGTACTGTTTGGGCAATTCTGACATCTTAATAGTAACTCTTCCAATCCATAAGCATGAATTTGATCTCACTCATCTTTAATTTATTCCAGTAATGTTTGTAGTTTTCCTTGTACAAGCCTTTCACCTCCTTGGTTAATTCCTAAGTGTTTTATTATTTTTGATGCTACTGTAAATGGAATTATTTTCAACATTTCATTTTCAAACTGCTCACTGTTAGCATATAAAAATGGGACTGATTTTTGTGTATTAACTTAGTATACTGCTACTTTGCTGAATGCATGTATTAGCCTTGAACAGGTTTTTTTTTTTTTTGGTGGAATCTTTAGG